TATATATATATATATATATATATATATATATATACATGTATGCACATATACATAGGTAAATAAACAGTAAATACACAATAAATACACAACAACGCATGCATGCATGCAGCAACGGTTGCTGCCTCTCCTTTTTTCTCCCCCTACATAAGGAGAGGGTTTTCTCTCGTTAGTGTTTATCTCTCTAAGGGTTTTAGGGTTTAGGGTTTATCCTGTTTATACGTAAACCCTAGCTAGGTGGCTAGTTGCAGCTAGCTAACTATCCATCTATCTATCTAGCTAGCTAGCTAGCTAGCCAGCTATCTAGCTAGCCAGCTATCTAGCTAGCCAGCTAGCTAGCTAGCTAGCTAGCTAGTAAATAAAGGACCGCAGGAAATAATTAAAATGTTTAACTCTCAGTACACCTGAGCTAAACTCGCTGCAGTTATTTAGCAGCAGCAAAGTATATTTATTAAAGACAGAGGCAAGCTGCTGCTGCTGCTGCTGCTGCTGCTGTTTCTGCTGCTGCAACAGCAGCAACAACAACAATTGGTAATCCAGTTGTTGCTGCTGCAGTTCCCATCACCCTTGTTCTGAGTAACAGGTGGATATGTTGTTTCTCCACCGCAGCAGCAGCAGCAGCAGCAGCTGCTGCTGCTGCTGCTACTGCAACTGTTGCTGCTGTTGCTGCAACGGCTGCTGCTGCTGCAATTGCTGCTGCTGCTGCTGCTGCTGCACGAGTGTCGCCGTGTGAACTGTGTCCTATATGCATACTTAGTCGAAGAGAGAGAACCCCATATCGGCGTCCTCCTCCTCCTCGGGCTCCTCCTGCTTTGCTGGCTTTCCTCCCTTCTCTGCAGGTGCAGCAGAGCCACCAGCAGCAGGGGCAGCAGCAGCTGCTGCTGCAGGTGCTGCTACAGCAGCAGAACCTGCTCCAGCAATAAGGTCCCTGCAAATACACATACAATACAACACCACACAATACATGATGCATATGCTGCAACAGGAATATACCCATGCATGCGTGGGTGCATGCATACGCGCACGCATGCACGCATGCATGCATGTAGAGTAAAGCGAACCAAAAACAGCAGGATTTACAGCAGCAGCAAGCCCTTTCTTTGCTGCAGCAAGGAGAACACGGGGCCCCACATGCCCCCTTGATAGCATGCCTCTTTGGTACTACGCCGAGGAACAGAGAGGCAAGCGAAGAGAAAAGAGAAAAGGAGAAAAATAATAAAACAATTAAGCAGACAAAATAAAGACAAAAGTTCATGTTGTTGCATCCACCCCACAGGATGCATGCAGCAACAGCAGCAGCAGATGTCCTTTCGTTGCCGCTGTTTTCTCTCGTGTGCAAGCAGAGAAAAAGATGAATAAAGAGTAAAAGATATGCAAGGGAGAGGCAAGAAGAAGAAGATTGCTAAGGAAGCAATATATATACAGAGAGTTACTGAGGAGTTGCTTACTCGACTTTGTGGTTCCTGAGAGCGCGGGCAAACAGACCCGGCATGTAGGGCTCAACAGATCCTCCTGCTGCTGTGACAAGTTTCTTAATATTTTCTGCGGAGATTTCCATTCCCTCATCAGAGAGAACTAGAGCGGCGTAGGTACACAGCAGCTCTTGGCGCTGGTTGTCGCTAAGGGAGGAGGTGGGGACTGCCGCCATTTTCAATACGAAAGCGAAATATACAACAACAGAACAATAAAAAACTTGTTCCCGCCAATTTCGCCTCCTTTTCACTCTTTTTCCCCTTCAATAATGCAACACAAAGACCCCATACATGCGCAAACCCACAGCAGCAGCAGCATGACGCCTGCGGGGCCGCAACGATGCGCAGCCCCCACAAACCCTACAGTGCATGCAGTAGCCCCATGTACATATCTCTGCATATATGGAATCAAAAAAAGAAAATAATTAATAATAAAAGTAAATTACGCAAAGAAAGGTGAATATTATGGGTATATATTCATACTATGTTAATCACTCGACCCATTGGGTTTCCCGTAACCCCCGTATGCAACACCATGTGCTGCAATCTATGTGCTTAATTAGGGCAGCAGACAAAAATATATTTCGTAGTTATATTTGACTGAATATTCAATAAAATTTAATACCTTTTGAATATCCACTGAATGAGCCTTTCGTAGGACCGCAACGAGCTGCAAAAGAAACGAAATACTCAATTATGTTAATCATCCACAACCAGCTTTTAGATCGTAAACCATGTAATGTAGAAGCTAAGTTATAAATATTAGGATTTACTAATGCAGGAATATGTAATCTAGAGGAACGTTATTCAGTTATAAGTGATACTGATAGTAATGTACCTACAAATGCGAAAAGAACAGCAATGCATATTTAGTGCCACTTACCTTGCTTTTTCCCATTATATGGGTCTAAAAATACTATTCATCAAGTAAAAAGATACACAATACTACTGGATTCGGCGTTTTTACATTCCCTTTGCCATTGTTCATCTATTGGCAGGAGGCGCGAGTCTTCGTTCATAAGAATGGGTTTCCCTTTCGCTTTCCGCCACATGCTTTTGTATTTCTACCCACTAGCGATGCTCTCTGCATATTTATTTTCTTATTTGTTTATTTATTTACTTACATACTTATTTATATGTACAGCTGTTCACTGAAGGGAGTCTGCTGTCAACATCACACCTCTCCTGTAAGTCCCCATCGAATCGCTGAGGCTAGGGAGGCCCGCCATTTGCTCACCTTTCATCACGATTTTCTGTCTAGCAACAAGTACTATCTGTAGAGCTCAACTCAGGATTAAACGCGGAAAGTTTCTCTTTTAAGTCGCATCTTCCATACCCGTCTTTTTTGGCACTGTGTTCATATGGTAAGACCCCCTCCTGACTGTTGGGAAGCGGTAGATGTTGATGTTGCTGCCGCCTTCTTTGCAGCTCAGGAAGGCTAACTTCGAATTGTATCCGCTGAAGTGTTCAGGTGTATTTAGAAACCTTTCACAAAATGTACTTTTTAGCTTTTGTAAGGTATGTCTCATCTGCTGTCGATGCAAGCCGTTGCTCCGCAGCTTTACAGCAAGGCGCACACAATGTCTGAAAAGGTTCAAAAAAGTTGTACTCACACAATATCCCTACAGTGCTGCGAACTTTGGTGCAGGGCCGGCGCCTATGCCCCGCCGTGGCATTCTGCTTCGTCCGTGTGAATGATTGGGTCTGTAGGGGATACACAAGCCAGCCATTCATGCTCTGAGGGAGAGGACGATGCTGGAGCCCCTCTAGCATTATCAGACTTTTTCTGTGCAACTGCCCACCTTCCGCGGTAGTCTAATTTCCGCAGGGTGGGCGAGGGAATGCCTTCAATGGTGGCAGCCACTGGGCAAGAAAGAGAAGGGAAATTGGACAAGCCTTGAGGAGATTCTGGCAACGACGAAGCAATGGAAGCTTCGGCCCATGGGCTTTGCAGGCGCGAGCCTTTGGCACCTTCATTTTCCTTGTGCTCCACCACCTGCGAGCGCTCCATTGGTGTGCTTGCTGGGGCCACTGAGATGCGGGGGATCTCGCATTCAGAGGAACCGCGTGGAGTAGCCCCGGTGGGTTCTCCTCCACCACTAGTGTATACTTGTGGAGGAAATGGTGGGTTTGTTCCTGCCACCTCCTGCTCCTGCCTCGCTGGTGTAGCTTGCGTAGCATTCAGAGTGTTGTGATACTCGATGGTTGTCGAAGGGCCTTCACCATAAGCTGAATTGTCTGCTTTGACTGGAGGCCTTAGGATTCTTTCTACAGACTGCCGACGCATTATTGTTATTGTTTCAGGCTCGCTGCACGGAACTACATTTGAAATCTCTCTTGGAGAAGAGCGGGGAAGTGGAACGTCTTGCCCACTGAGGGGGGCATTCGGCGTAACAGGGCCTGCACTGCCTTCAGGGGAAGCTAGCAGCTGCATGTCGCCGGATAATCCTATATTTATATTTGCTTCAGACTCCATCCCGGCTTGGTATGCACTTCCTTGTTCGGCCTTCAACAGACTGCCGCTGGAACTGTCACTGCTAGGGTCAAGTTGTGGCTCCTGTTGTTGTTCGGGGGGATGGTCCACAGCAGCACCCACCGCAGGAGTCCTTGTGTGCTCGTTTGTGCGCAAAGTCGCTGAAGCTTCTTCCTTCAGGGAAGCGCAATGTAAGTCAAGCCTAGCCGAAGGAGCTTCGCGTGGGAGTGGCAAGTGGGAAGCGGAATTTGAAAAAATGATTGAAGCTGAAGAACAGGAAGTGCGAATTGTTTCTTTGAATACTTCTTCTCTCACAGCACTGCTGTTTGAATCCCCAGCCTCTCCAGTCGGAGTGGGGGTGCCTGTTCTCAAGTGTCGTTCTTGGCCAACTCGCAAGGGCATCATTGGCTCGCTCCTGTTGAAACATGTATGGCCAGGGTCTTCAGGTGTTGTCGAAACAGTCTGCATTCTGTTTACAGGGTTTGGAGTATGGATGAACTGTTGCGACTGTCTCTCTAAATCAGTATTTAAACAATGGAGACGAGAGCTAAGCGCTTGCCCTTCGGAGCCAGCAAGATTGCTCTGCTGAAAGCCAGGGCAAGCGGTGTCTCCAAAATTCGCTGTTGTTTGATAACTCCTTGACTTGGGGTGTTGTCCCTGCATATTGCATGCTGCGTTCCAACAATTTTGTTCATGAATTTCTACTTCAGGGGGTCCGTTGTTAACGTCATTAAGACAGATCCACCGATGGTCATTTAAGCTTATTCCGTACCCTTGAATAGGGGACTGATCACTCTTAAACAAATCAGGAACATTGCTTGCACTATGCGGTAGACCGCAAGCATTCAGAGACACATTTTCTCCTCCAACGGGGTCACGCACTTCCCTATCCGCAAGTTCAGCAGGCTGCTCCACAGCAAAATCAATGCAGCTAAGCGAAAGGCACATCGACGATGCTAGTTTCCTGTTTTGAACACATGCCGCCCTTGCTGCTTCATACAATTTTTGCATTTTCTTCAAACGCCTCTGCGCTTCGGCACTCTTGCGTCGAGCGGACTCAAGCTCCACAACGAGGAGCTTGAACTCCGCATCCCTACTTCTTAGTCGGTCATTGCTGCGTTGAATCTCGTCCGTCAAACGCGCAACATGGCCGTCGTATGCCTGTTTTAGAGCTACTGCTGCATTATGCTCTGAGCGCGCACTGCTATGAGTAGCCATTGGCTTTTGCGCTGGTAGATGCGTTGTGCAAGCGACAATATCTCCTTCATTTTTCGCTTCCATTGTAGGCTGCATGAAATTTACACACTCAGTCGCCTGTCTATCTAGCTGAGCCCCTAGCCCTTTCACCTGCCTCTGCGCTTGCGGAAGCTGAGATTGGAAGCTTGGCTGCTCCTGTGTGAGCATTATGTTCGCTTCATTCTGTTCTGTACAAAGGTCATACTTCTGAATACGTAGAGCTGCTCTCATCAAGTCCCTTTCCCTATCATCCAAAAGACGTTCCCTTTTTGACAAATTCGTTTCACGCTCAGCAAGCCGCGCCTCCAATTCCTTTTGTTGGACCAAGCGGGCCTCGAGTTTGCTCCTTACCTCATGCTCTGTGATTTGCGACTCGAATGCATGTGCTTGTTGACTTCCTGTTGCTCGGTCTACTGCTCTCTCTAGCTGCCGCATTCGTTTTTCGTATGCACTTTCTAATGTGGCAATGCGCTGGTCCAAGGCATGCCGGGAGTCCTCGCTGGCAGCAACTAGTCGTTTTGACGACTCGCGCAGCTCAAGGCCTTTTAAGTGGGCTTCCAAAACTAGCATCTTGTTCTGCGCCATCTCTCTCCATTCATCCCACTTGGTGTCGGCCACCCCGGAATTTCGAGATGGGGGGTCGACAGATTCAGAAACCACGGATTCGATTTTTTGCTTGCGAGCACTTCTGGGTGGGCAAGAGATCCCCTTCGCCCGCTTCGCTCGTTGCATGCAGTCAGTCCGCCCACTTCTGCAGGAAGAGCTGGTCCCCCCATCACTCGGGAGGCAACGATTCTCGCCTGCACTAGATGCTCTATATCTCGCTGCAAACACTGGATCTGTGCTCCTTCGCAAGCTGGCTGCTTGTCCTGCACCGAGCTGGCTTGCAGCATGTATCAAGCGGTCGAGCAGATTCCACTGAAGCGCTGAAGAGGCGCAGGGAGTAGATGGTCTTCTGAGAAGATCCTTTGGTAACTGTAAAACGGCCTGACACTCCTCTTGCGACAGTACATCGCTGTTCCGCATGTCTGCCTCAGGACAAAGTACTCCAGCTGTGTGAACAAGGCCGTGAGCCTTCAGCCAAAGAAGAACAAGCGAGAGAGTTGCCTTAAAAACAAGACTCTTCCTGGACTTTTCCGCATCCTCTCCGCATTGATCTGCACCTCCATATCCATAAACACTCTCCCGCTCAATTGCGCAATTCAACAACCTTCCCGACAGGAAGTAACGCACCTGACATTCGAGTTGCTGTCGAAGTTGTGACTGAGACAACAGAGAAAGCATCCTTCTGGAGGCCTCAGTAGCTGACGCCATCGGTAAGAACCTGTTTTCACTGCTGCCTGGCACAGCAGCCTTCCCTGAAGCCTGTTCCATCACGTTCCAGGTAATGTAGGGAACTCTTCACGTGCTACCTATGCCTTCACTGAGTGGCTGCGTATACGGGAGGACGTGTTCAGATAGGATGAAGGTGATCAAGACCCTCTTTCCGCGTGCAGAGAGCAAACCAGTTCTAAACGCATCTTAACCAACCACGGGCAGCTTTGCGACGTCTCGAGATTCATTCAACTATAGTCAACACACAGAGAACTACAACGCCGCTTCACGTGATTCCTCCAGCTATTTACCCTCATACACGATAAGCACGCAGTGAACCTGGTGAGGGTGTTTGAAGAAGCATGTTTATTGCCAAACTCGACAATCAATTCTGCAGTGGTTCCTGCTTCATCCTGCGGTACCAACACCGATATCGCCACTTTCCACACTCCAACATCAATAAGAATACGATGTTCACAAGGCTATATTCTAGACAAGCCAAAATAATGGTGATAAGATGAACAGAAAAAAAAGACGGATGATGATGCGCCGCTGCCGCGAGTGGATCTACAACTCAGCGTGCAACATGGCGTTAGTTTAAAAAGAATAGCCCAGAATTTTCACTAGCAGGCATATCTAGAACATCTATGACAGATGCAATACAACAAGGACAGCAGGCGTACGCTAGCTGGCCCTTGCTTAGGTGGGCCAATGGACTGTTTCCCGTTTGCATCCAGCACGTACTACGTACAACACACGTGCTCAAATTGCAGCAGGCTATTCCTCTGAAAAAGCATCCCCACTTAATAATGGTCCTGGTGAAAGGGATCAGCAACTCCCGTACATTGGGAAAACGCGTTCTGTTCCTGTGTGCAACCCCCTGTTGGTGCCAGCCCCAATGGTGTCATAGGAGACACAGCAATATACTAGTGTATGCATCTTTTTCACATACAAACCTAAGCTTACTGTGTGTGATAGAAAAGTGAGTTTTAATGCTACCGACTGGAGCTAAGTGGAGCTGTGGTCGGTCCGGTTGTCAAGTGGGTTGCTGCCGCCTACACATGTGGGTGCAGCTGGCTTGAACCTTGTTAGCGTAGGATATAACGCAGTCAACAACAGTTGATATTTGTACTCAAGTACATATGCCTGGCCAGCATGTAGCTGACACACTATTGATGGATTCGACTGAAACTGAGGTGCCATTAGCAGCATTTGCAGCATTGCAGCGGGCTGCGGCTGCGTGGAGCATGGCGCTGCCAAATTTGGGGAGACACCATGAAAAGAACTAACAGAATTTCCCGTAGGAATTAGATCAGTCCAAAGCATGGAGCCATGAGGGAAAATTGGCCAAAGCCGCAGGCAACGGCGGCGCAGGCTCGACAGCAATCGAGACAATAAACTAGGGAGTTCCTCATGAGCAGCTGGCTTCCCCTTGAATCTTGATGTTCCCTTGGCACTGTGGAGAAAAGGCTCGGTCTTTGCGTCCGTGGTATACGTGCCCATAATTCGGCGCCACGGCTACCGGGCCGTAGGCCGTTTGGCTGCAACCAGTTTGCAGTTTGTCTCTGCTAGTCTCCTTATGCTTGATCGTAATTATTATATATTGCCTTCTTTGCTCACTACATGCAGTGTTTAGCATTCCTGTTTTGGACCTGAAAGAAGTAGAGCCTGGCCGATCCTCTCCCCTCTGCCGCACCCACATGTTCCTACCCCTTTCGTATTTGTCTGCAGCTCGTCAATGCCACGTCACAGACCCTAGTGTAGCTTACCTGCAATGCTGATGGGCTGCTGAGACAGTGTCATGCTGCAGCAGGTGCCCCAGCAGCTCCTCCCGCTACAGCTCGTGGTTCCATTGTTACTGGCCCTCCCCCAGCAGCAACAATCGCTACTGTTGCATATGCATCAGGGGGTTCCGGCTGACCTTCTGTTGTGGAAGCCAATAATGGTTTATGGGGGCCCTTCTACGGAAAGAATAGCGGGAAACATCTTCGGAAAGGCTTGGTCCTCGCTCTGGTATTTCGAGGTGACAAAATTTAAAAATACAACGACGACAGCCTGTGTAGCTGTTAGTAGTACATTCAGCCCTTGACGGTGGACAGCCCAATGCAGCACAACAGTACTGTCCATCGGTTTGTAGCGGCCATTTGAACTGTGTACAACAGCAATTGCTCTGGTATCACTGCATTGGTGCATCCGCGTTCCTTTCCTCGTGGAAAACAGACTGCGGTCCTCTCAGTATTGAGGATGCAAATGCTCTTGCGACCGCTTATAGGCGCGTCCTCTTATGCTTTTCCGGCAACACTGTTCAATACCGTCATGTGAAGGCAGCAAGAGAGCCATCCGACCAATGAACCACAGCATACCAAAAACTGTGTAATGGTTATCTTCCCCAACGTAAAAGTCGCTCGCTATCGGAATACGACCTACTTCCGAATTACAGCCTCATTTTACTCCTAAAATTATACCGGCCTTCGGGTCAGGTTTGCCACCGGCTGAGCGCGATCTCAGGCATTGTGCCTTTGAATAAACAGGTACCTTCCCGCTGTGTTTTCCGGTGATAGCCCCATTCCGCTTCCTGTTCTCGGTAGCGCTAGCAAATGTTGACTGCTAAAACGAGCTTAACTGAACTCGAAACTTGATCATGGTGGGGCTGATTCGTTTAGCCATCATGCTTATTTTCGCCATATCCGGCCTCTCCTTTTTCTCTGGATAGCCCCCAAAACGAACAAGTCACTACGTCAGCTTGTTGTTGATAGTACCCTACCTGAAGTGAAGCTGTCCATTCTTCGACTCATTTTTCGTTTAACAATGTAAATAAGCTCATTCTATGCAGAAGACCGGAAGATCTGCCTGCCCAGCAGCACTTGTGCAGTTAGCTACGTCGTCCCCCCTGGTCACGACTCAAGGCGCATGTCTGGACGCTGGCAGTCTGTCAGGTGGCTGATCAAGGGTGATGCTCTTCCTGCACCTTTCCAGACACCCCTGAACAACTGATAATTGGGCTGACAAGGTGTGTTTTGCAAAAAACAGTAGAAGGTCTATGTAGACAAAAGTAGCCTGGTGCGGGGTGTGAATAAAACCATCTCCAAGGGTCTTACCCTTTGTGCCTTTCAAGCAGCAGGCATGTCTCCCACACCGTCTTCTGCTAGAGGTAATGGAGCGACTGGGAACATAATCGTAGTTGGCAACGCATGAGCTACTCTGATTATGCACATCATAATTAGCTATAGTCGTAGCTGGAGACCCAGAACCCCACTCTGATCAAGCATACCTCAATTGGCTGCAGCTGACCAAGAACTGATATGTTCCACGTAGCCTCATGTACCAGCATGCAATTCGGAAGAGGCGGATGCTTCCAAACCATCTTCTCTTAGTCCTCAGTGATTCGATTGCGCGTCCAGGACTGTTTCCCTTCCTGTGCCTTTCTATAACCATCGACTGTGGGAAGTTGCATGTTTCTGCCATGCAATCCTGGTAAGGCACTCATTAATTCCAGTTACGCTAGGAGCAAAGAGTTGCTCACACAGAGCATGCACCACACTGTTATTCTAATGTGGTTGTGCATAACGAGGTCCACCGCCTACCTGCTCAGTCACAATCACAGTCCGCAACTTTGCAATGAAAATGCAGTAACCTGCGGCACTATGCCCTAGAGGCATAGTGTGGCAGGCTAATACACTTTCATGCCAAGGGAATGGTACAAAACAGTTTGTGTCAGTGTGTACTTCAACTGAAGTGTGACTTCCAGGGGAACAAAGGTCTCTACACTTACTTTTGCCTGCACTGAGCTCGCGGACTGTCTACGGCTCTGTGTGCGCGTTGCTTATGTAACCGTCTTCCGGCGCATCAACCCTCCCACGCATCATTTTATTTCTAGATACACCGGCTTGCAGTAAACGCCAGAAATTCACCCAGGACCGTGCGAAACCTTCAGACGGTTATTCATATAGCGTTTCTACACATTAAACCCCAGAGCCGATATATTCACTCTGATGCACCGTTCTGTAGAGTATCTTACGTTCTCCCTATTCAACCATTCGTAGCAGCAACGGTACTGCACAGGAGCTTCATGGTTTCTACACGAAAAAACGCACCCAAGAAATGGCTGCTAAGTAGTTGGAAGGTAGTGTATGTGAAGGCATTCACAGATCCGTGCCTGAGGACTCTCATACTATCGTTTTCTTCGGTTACTGAATCACTGACTAGCTCCTCTCAATACAGAGTGTATGTCCGTTAATTGATTAGAAGTGCAAAAGAACGAAACGCTAAAAACATTAAATTTCACTCCAGTTATGATCAGTAATTTTGGTGGGAATTCCTGCATGGAGAGTACATTAATGCTTCGAACCAGTCAACTGGTTGTGTGGCGGGCATAGCGCTCCCCACTTACCACCCAAACTTCTTATGCGTGAATACTCTGCAGATGAACTTTATCTGTAATGGTCTGTTCTGCCTTCTCAGTTGGTAAATTCTTGCATAGATCATGCATGCTGAGAGTTATACCAAACTTGCGGCTTCTGCCAAGGAGTGATTTTATGCAGCGACAGCAATCTCGAACGGTGCTACGTTGGACCTCGCGGTTACAGCTGGACATTAGCTAATTTTGCTTTCGCCATTTTTTTTGAAGTTTGCAAAACTTGTGTGTTCTTTTGCTCACTGTCCCGCATACAGTCCCGCAGTGTCTCGCTGCGAGCACAAGGTGGGGCTTCCTGTGAGATGCAGTGCCATGCTGGAGGCTTTGTTCTGTAAAAGAGTCGAGAAAACAAAAACGTTACTCATTGGAATCAACAGAATGAACATCCTTCAAGGCGACTCTCGGTAGTGACCTCAGGTTAGTTGTTCTGTATCGTTACTTCGGGAGGACAAACTGGGTTATACACACTACTTATCAGCGAACATTAAGGTCCGAAGATGGATTTTATGTACGAAGGCCGTAATGCAGGGGTCTTACTCCACTTAACTTCTCTGCCTAGCAAATGCGGCATTGTCGGCGACTTCGGGGAAAGCGCTGAGCCGTTCCTAGCGTACCTCAAGGAAGCCGGATTTTCTTACTGGCAAGTACTACCCGTTGGACCTTGCACCTATTCGCAGTCTCAGCCCGGTTGTCCATATTTGAGCACAAGTTCCTTCGCCCTGAATCCTTTGCTGGTTTGTCCTGCTGGTTTAGTATCTCTCGGTCTTGTCACAGTAGAAGAAGTAAGCCAGTTGGTGACCAAATGGCAGGCAAAGCAAGAGGAGAGGAAAGCCCTTAGAGCAGAATGCTCCTCTCAAGATACGGTTGAATGCTGTGACTTTGTTGATTACCATGTAGCCAAGGGCTACAAGGATGAATTGCTAGCCATTGCGTACAACGCATTTATTAGAAAGGCCCCTACAGAAGAATACGAAGAATTCTGCAAGTCCAACAAATTTTGGCTGGATGGGTATGTGCTATTTGAAGCCATACAGGCAAGGCATCCCCAGGCCTCCTCATGGCTTGAATGGCCAGAGGAATTTCGGTCATATAAAAGCCTTCAAAAGAATGAGTCATTATTGCAGAGCCTTGAGTTGCTAAAGCCAGACCAGAACTCCTCTGAACAAAAAACTGCAGGACCAATTGAGCAGCTGCTACCACAATTCCACCGTTTCGTGCAGTTTATCCTTTCTCAACAGTGGAGCCAGCTGCGTCGTCAGGCCAACAAGAACGGGATTAAAATCATGGGTGATATAGCCTTTTATGTCAACATGCACTCTAGCGATGCATGGAGCAACTCCGAGATGTTTCAGATGGATAGTACAACGAACAAGCCGCTCTACGTTTCGGGTGAGGGGGCCGGTAGATTGCTAACAGATGACTCCACTATTATTAACACTATGGATGATGTACAAACAGAGCTACAGCAGTACTCGTGACTCCGAGTGTGCTGTTCAGTGCCTGCGATGCAGGCGTTCCGCCCGACTATTTTAGCGCAGAAGGGCAACTTTGGGGGCATCCTGTATATGCATGGGAAGCCCATGAGCGCACAAATTTTAGCTGGTGGACTCGCCGTCTTGCAAAGAGTTTTGAGAAGTTTGACGCATGTCGACTTGATCATTTTCGTGGATTTGAATCTTACTGGAGGGTCCCGTATGACTTCGCTGTACAGTATAAAAGCGCTAGGAATGGGGAATGGGTGCAGGGGCCTGGTACGAAGCTCTTCGACGGAATATTCAAGAACATGGGCTGGGAAAATCCCAGAGTAAATGTTGCGACAGCTTACTCGGAGGCACTGAGCAAGCACACAAAGCCGCCAACAATAAAGAAACGACTTGCCAACATTATCAGCAAGCACGCTGCTTCTAAATCGAAACCGCTGAAGAAGAACTCTGGGGCGCCGCATTCCTTTGGGATGCCAGGGGGAGGCGAGCCATCTCAACCCGCACCCTTGCTAATAGCAGAAGACCTGGGCTTCATTACCCCTGAGATCGTGGCTCTTAGGGATAAGTACAGCATATTTAGCATGCGCGTAATGCAATTCGCGTGGGCAGACAAAGAAAAGGGCTTACGCTGCGAGCATCTTCCGTACAATCACACGCGAGACTGTGTAGTGTATACTGGGACTCACGACAATTCGACTTCACAATCCTGGTGGAAAGCAGCTTCTGCTGAAGAGAAGAAGCATCTTTTGAGCTATCTTGGTGAGAACTCTATGCTAATGCTAATATACTTCTGCATTAAAGGGCCAAGACATTAAAAGAATGCCCGGGACGGCCTGCCGACCCTCTAAAAAAGGCTTTCCCAAAACAGGCAATAAGCGCTAGGAGAACGACAGCATGTCCTTCCCGTTGACATACAGGAATTCCCACAGAAATATGCTTGTGGGAGTGGTCTTTATATTTGTTCGATGGGCATGTGTTTAGGCTTGAGCGAAGAATCTCCAAACTTTGCACCGCACAGGGTCCTAACCCACTTGGCACTTCTCAGTGTTGCGAACCTGGTCATCCTCCCAGTCCAAGACATATTAGGCCTTGACGACCGAGCTCGGTTTAACCTTCCAGGCGTCGACAGTCCGAAAAACTGGAGCTGGAAACTCAACAGCCTGGAGCCTCTCTATGCTCCGGGAAACCTGAATCCCCTCCGCGAAATGCTCATTCTGTCAAATAGATCCATTACATCCGAGTAGTTTCAACTATTTCCCTAGTAGTTATACAGTGTTCACTGGCACAGGCTTAATATTTTTGATATGCCAAATGTGAAAGGTATATCTATGTCGATATCCTGAGACGTCAAAAACGTTTGATGAAGGCCAACAAGCAGATAGCGCAGAGCCACAAGTAGTCATTTAGAAGGAGCACTTATGGCTCTCCGGGATGCTCTTGGTGTTGCGTGATCAGCAAGTATTCCAAAGCTCTTCCTGAATGGTGGGGCTGTAATCTTGTCGAGGTACTTGGTCACACACAGCATAAAGGTGAACCAAGGTTTGCAAGGCACCCATGAAAAGACAGCACATTTCTAGCAGTCGCGAGTTGGGGTGCATGCAAGTAATATGAACTAGCTTATAAGGCGAAGGTTTCCTGGCGTCAGGGAAACAAAATACTGAAATTGCCTATGTCCCAGGTGCCACTGGACGATCATACTAGCGCGATCGAGCATTCTGTTGCAAACAACGAGTTCCTGCAAACTGGTTGCAAACTGCCAGGTACTCGTTAGTCGTATGACTTGTTTTACAACATCCATAACATGCATGTCTTCCCACTTCCAGGCAAATTCATAACATCCGCATACAACCGTCCAAAGGCTTGCATGCGGCATTTCTACCCTAATATTGCTAGGTACGCAGCTTGTACTTGCCCATTTTTCGTCGGTCCATGAGCTTTCCTTCAACGATGTATTTTAGTTACCCTCGGTTTAAAGGTCCATGTGTTTTAGTTTTGCCCGGAAGCGTTCCATGCTATTGGTGTTCGTCTGCGCGTACAGTAAAGGCACTACCGGCAGAATTCATTGACTCCCGTTGCAATCAGGCGTCTTTCTGCTGCTTCCTGCACTGAACCGAGGCCAGCAGACACTAATTTTGCGTTGTCTCTTACACCTACAGCGGTTACCCTGTGTATGACGGGCATTAGCAGATGATGACGGCACATTTTTCTATACAAGCTAAAATCCTTCACCGTCGTTTCCTGAAGCCCCTCTGCACGGTCTTGGTACCTTTCCGTCAGTTTTTCCTTGGTAAAATCACTTTCGTGATCGTTGGACGGTGAATTCACATATTTTTATTTTGACGTATTACGCTCTATGAACTGTTTTGAAGGCTGCATGCGATCACCCAAATGAATTAACTACAGCGTGCCTATATACAAAGGTAGTTCCTATTTGGTAAGAAGAAGTAGACCGGTATCGTGAAAATGCGACCAACTTCGAAATTAAACAACCATTTTACTCTCCATATTCTTATGGATTATGGAGTTTTATGTAGCTTCAGCAGAGCACTGTAGCAGAGACTGCTCCAATAAATAAGGAGAGAGGTTGCGCCTACGCGCCGTGGCTTCACGCATCAGAACTACAGTGGAGCCCGCGCCTAGCGCCCCTATCGGCTAGTGACAATTAATGTTAGTTTGTACATGTGGGTATCTGGCTGGAGGCTGATCCGCACGTTGCGACTCTCACCTCGTTTGGACGCAGTATTTCATTGTATGTTGAGTCGGGGCTATAACGTTCCCAATTTTGTCCTGTCAGATTCCCTGTAAACTCCGGCAAAGTGTGCAGACTCTCCATTTGCTTGCCGGTTTCTACGCTCCTACATTTCCGAATTGTGTAACCTTGTTTCTGCACAGAAGCAGATGCGTCGCTCGTTATGCTTCCCCGTCAATTCGACGGTTCTCATCTCTCATCGCCGCTGATCTGTTACTGAGCACGGCACCCGCAGCCCCAGTATACAAAGGCCCAATGCCCTTGTCATTTCAAGAATATTTTCTTCCTGCTTGTCTGGGGAGCTGGCAGTGGCATTTTTGCTAGTCAACCAAATTGTACGGGCGCCGTCCTCTTCGGCGGCGGCGAGGAATTCTCCCCCGTCTGAAACTTTATGAGAATTCTTCGCCATTACCATTATCTTACCACCTGTATAATCTAGCCGAATTACCATAATACTAGATTTCGGAAAAGAGCCTAAGGAGACCAAATCTACTTGACCGTACCATGCCCACATGGAACCCAGCAAGCTGTGCAGTGCATTGAGTAGACAAAATTCTTGTTAGGCAATGTAATCATGCTCTGAACAAGGGCCAACACCTGCCGTGTTGCGGGAGTATTGCTGCTGAAGATATTCAGCAACAATCGCCTCGATAACGCCTCATCTTCATGTATTTTACTCTAGACCCGGTTGTATCTTCAATGACCACATTTTCGTCCGGTCGATATGCCCCGTGCTCTTCACCTCACTAGCATAGTGAGAGAGGGGAGAAACACAGCACTCTGAACCTAAAGTCGTTAGCATCTACGAGCAGAACGCTGCTATACAGTGGAAGGAGCAACTGTAATAGTGGCTACACAGCGGGCTAAATTTGTAGACACTAAATAACCCATTGCATGTCTTGTGTTTGACTATGGGCCGTCTGGGCCAGCAACAGGTTCAAACATTCGCTCAGACTGCAGACTGTTCTTTTTCAAGATATACGTTTTGGTGAACATTGGCATCCACCGAACTTTGAATGAGAGCACTAGTTGAAAAGAAGGGAGGGGGGCAACACATGCGGGGTGAATCACACCCCGGTCCTCAGTCTCAGTGTTCCTACAATACCTTCCAAACAATGGTTCTTATTGGAATCCTTGCATGCCATTTTGCTTTTTTTAGAGCATCACTTTTTTCCAAAGTTCGTGGCCTTCTCGAAACCAAAATTCATTCGCTTTAAAAGGTGGGAAGTGACGCTGGCAATTTGCACGGAAATCGCATCAATGACAAATCTCATGAGTGAAGCATTTCCACATATCTTCGATTTGACTGTAAGTGCATCACCAGCGAAAAATGACTGTAGCTAGGGAGCATGCCATGCATGAATTTGGTGGTTGGATCTCTGGTCTTGGCTTATCTATGCGAAAAATACCCTGTTTATGATACCTGATGCAGGAGAAGGATAGTCACACTGGCATTCACTCGAACCCAGTACAACAGGAAGATCCTCGAGTTTAATTCTCACGCATGAAGGGATGAGCAAACCCAGCGCTAGTTGACCTATCAGGAGGTTTCATTCCAAAACAAAAGTTATATTGAAATCGTAAAATGTTTGAATATAGACGGCGTGCTGCTTGATGAAATACTGTATATCTGCAGAGGAGGTGTGCTGACCCCCATTTCTACCTGCTTGCATGCCCCTGGGAGCAACTGGAGTCAGGTGTGCTGCACTCTAACTTCAAGGCCTTTTGGACATTGCTCACCCAGTCGGCAAACGCGGCCACTGGGGCAGACCTGAGAAGCCATTAGGGGGGTAACTGATACTTCCAAATGAGCAGGTTCATGCACAGGATGAAGCAACTATTTTAGCGTGTGATCATATGCAGAAAGACCATACTTCATAAAGCACTCTAAAAAGATACGCGTTAATCAGATTTCCGTACCTGCATATCTGTTTGTTCTTGAAGTCTACAAGAAAGTGAGACTGGAGAGAAGCGTTGTCTGTTTTGCCTTCCGAATTCGGCTTTGACCTACACCGGAGATCTGGCACACCTTGGCTATCACCACCACGTTCAGTGTCGTCGTTCTCCCCTGCCAACGATGAAACAGCTACGCTGGTTTTGGAAGCGCCAATAATTGTCTCTTGTGTTCTGCTGAAGGCTTTCCGCATATTGGGTCGCGCTTCTGCTCTTCCGCTCCCTGCACGGCCAGTCGTCCCTAGTCGCGCCTGCAGGCGAGGAAAAGGGGATTTGTTGTGTCTTCGCTTTTGGCAATGCACCAAACCTTATGCAAAGTCCAATCGAAATTTTCATAGCATCGGTTCTAGTAGGTGCCGTAGTGAATCACCTGTATCCTGCCAAACTGGATGTTGGCAATGTCTTCAACCAACCTTACAACCAATCCGAACATGAAAGCGAGTTCTTCGTACCTGTCCTTGCTATCCTTTACGGCAGAATGCAAGGCAGATATTTGCTCGCCCAAGGCAGTATCCTGCGAAACTGCAGACACTTCTTATTGAGCGGCCTAAGGAGTGCAGGCTGCAATACTACAGGGTACAGATGCACAATTTTCAATTGGCGTGGAAGGAGTGTTGTTAGAGCGCTACTCTTTTAACTGGCGAAATATCCGGAGCAGCTATATAAAACGAATCATGCTTTTTGTGTGCCCAACCTGCACAGTATTGGAATCTTCCAACTTCTGAAGGCTTTCCGAGAGTGTCTGCAGGGGTTTCATAAATCCTTTTAACAGCAAGCTTCCAGATCCGTATATAACTGCATTATCTTCATTTCAAATAAAGTGGTCTGTTGTGGGGACTCACTGACAGCCCAAGCTTGCCGGGCCCTAGGTTCTCTAGTTCCTTCCTGCCTGTTTACGCTTACCGCGTTCCTAGAAGTTACTTCAACCCCAAGGTTCTCTAGTTCCTTCCTGTCTGCTTTTGCGGCATCAAGCTGTTTCACAGCAGTCCAAATAAGCAGGATGTCCTTCATCATATTCTTGACGTCATCTGAGCATATTCAGAATTGCGATAGTCTTCTGCTCAGACCATTTTTCACCACGAAGGCAGGGTATGGTGAATTGGAAGCAGTAAAATTTCACAGGTTAACCTCGCGTGCTATAGAGCGGCTTAAGAATCGAGCAATGAATAGAGATCACCGTCTCTAGCCAGAAGGGCCAGTTGCCCGGACAGCTGCGATACCATCGCTTCTGCGCCTTGTACACGCTCTTCAGCATCCCGACGAAAATTTGCGTGTACATCAAGGTCAGCAGTCATCTGGAAAATGACGCGTCGATAGGTTTGGGGAAACAATTTTTTCACAGCACCAGCACTTGGTCAGCTGCCACTCAGTGGTATCTCCCATATATGACCAATCAAGGGACTTATTCCAAGTGAAAAGTCGCCACTTCTGAAATGCTCACTTTTGCCAGTGCCTCTGTGCCTTCTTTAGTCCTATGCTCAAGTTCAAGAGCACGATCCTAATAGGCCCAGCAGATACACACCAATATGAGTGACGCACAACGAATGAGGCCCCCCATGGAAGCCAAGTCCTTGTAAATTTGATTCGTGGACCAACTGGATATCAGCATTAAGCGTTCTTTTGTCAGCAACTCAAAATAAGGGAACATGCTTGGTCTTTAGAAGGGTCCGCTGCGCCGGTACAGGGTATGGGAAGGCACACACCATAGTTGATTGCAGACAACTCCACATTTCTTTACTCCGTTCAGCCAGTAATTCTGCCTTGTGAGCCTCGGCTGCAGCTCCCTGCTCCAGTATCTGCAGGCGGGGATTCACGGTAGTGTCCAGGAGTGTATGTACATCTGGTACTAGTCTTTTAAATTCTTCTTTTAGACGCTCGATCTCCGAGGCCCACCGAGCTTGGTAAAACCATCGTCGGAAGGAGCTTCGAACCTGCAGGCACGATCGAGGACTAGAGAGCTACCCGCTCCGAAGTAAACACAATACTACTTGCTGTGTCACCGTGGACCAGCGGTAGCGATTTTTCGTATCACCAGCTCTCTCGTTTTGCAGTCGAGTCAAAAACATAGATGTAGCTGATTGTACGCACAATTGTATAGATGCGATTGGCTAGCAATGAAAGTCCAAACTTCCTGCGACTTGCCAACCACGCTTGTTCTCTCCATCTGTGAACCACAGTCATACCCAAGTGTCTGCTAGGCTGAGTCAGAGTTAATATATTCACAAGCTGTGAGCGCAAGCATTTGGACAGCAGTTCAACAACCTTCGTATGATAAACAACCGGTAACGAGGTGCTGGTCTTAGATCCCTTCAAGCGTCGTCATGCAGATGACGACCTGTAATCGCCCAACCTGAGCAGTACGGATCGCTTCACGTCTTTTTGCCTGTTCGTTTCAGTAGCTTTTGCAAGTATGTCCAAACAGTAGCTTATTCGCACATTCATCCTCTTCTCCACTTTCCCACTGAGGGCTTCAATATCACTCTGGTACTTCTGCAGCTCTGCTGTCGATATGGCTTCGAGTGAATGTTCAACGCCCTTCCAAAGATTTTCATATTTATTCTCAACGGAATTGACAAGCTCGTCTTGACGCCGCTCTACCTATGTTAGGTGCCGCACGCAGTGGCATCCACGCACTTGATCTTCAAGAAGAGATGGAAGGACCGTTGTTTGCTCTGAAGCTGATTCCCTACCCCACGAAAGCTCCAGCTAAACAGCTAAAGGATGGCACCTGACGTGAACAGAGTTCATGTCTGCCCTCACCTCAGCGCACCGCGCTTGTGTTTCTTGACACTGAACAGTAGCAGCCGCTTGGCTTGCCTTAAGGGATCTGAATTCTGGCACCATTTCCTTAAACTGGTCGTCTAGATTGCTCTGTTTATTTTCTACATCCATCACTCGACCTTGTAAATTGCTCGCAGCAGCTCCTTGACTTTTGATCTGACATCGCACTTAAACTTGTAGCATGTAGCATGCACTGCTGAAATTTGTTTTTTGGAAAGAGAGCGATCTGATAGCCTAATTGCGAAACCTTGTTCAGCTGTATGCAATCCGTATTAGCATCTAGGCGAAAGTAACTCCCTTATGTACAAGCCTATGAAAAAGCATTAGATTCCAATAGCCCTTTGAAGTGCAAAATGAAATTTCGTAATTCCATAGGCTGTTGGAATCTAAACGCATTTATTATAGTGTACTAAAGGTTCTAAAGGCATACTAAAGGGAAGGCCGCTCGCTTCAGTTGAGAGAATAGCGCCCTTGTACACGCCAAGGTCTGTATGGTGGGCGGACCTCACTTTTGTGTCAAGCAGAGATATCTGCGACTGAAACGACTTGATATCATTGTGATCATTATCGTATCTCTCCATCTTCTCCCCTATCCGCAGCTTATCCAATGCTTCAAGTCTTTCTGATAGCCGTTCAGTGTCATCTTGCAGCTTTTGCAGAGCTTGTTGCTGCTCTCTCATGCCATCTTCTCCACTAGCAAGCCTCTTAAGCAGTTCGTCCAAGGCAGATGCCAGATCATCCTGGCGCTTTTGAATAGTTTCTTGGGACCGAAGGAGTTGACCCAAGAACTCTTGAAGCCGCGCTGTTTCTATGTGAAGCCCGAAATCCAGATGTGAGTTATCCATTTCGGCATTGCGTTTTTTTAATTCGAAGATTTATGCGCTCGTGCTACTTTTCTATATGCTTCCGTTCTTTTCTGCAACGCAGTGCTGCAACCACTGTGGGACCCTAGTTTGCCACGAGTAGAGAAAATTAGCTGGAAATGGTACGCAAATCGCAATGTTCTATCTAGTGTGGATAATGGTAGCCAAGTATGAGGGAAAACTAGCACACGTTATGGACACTAAAGCGCATGGCATATGGGAGAATGGCTTTGGCGCCGTCTCCTGAATCATCAGTATTATGCATGACAACGCAATTCAGCATCCGTCAGTAGTGGGGGTTTCGAATCAACTTCTCAGGAACCACTGAATATTTCATCTTGATCTATCGTACATAGATTGCTAACTGTAATTGTGCAACACGGGTCTGCCCATCAGATGCATGCATGCATCGTTGGGTCACGGACAACGGGGCTGGGCTGATTGTATGCATGCATTTTGAAAATTAATTTAATTGCGAGCGAAACAGATCCTCTCGAGTTTTTTAAAGAGTCTGTTGTCCCCACACCATAGAGAAAAGTTCATAAAGTCCTTGGCATATGCGAATGGCTACGGTCATTGTAGAGCCTTAGCCCGGAACGGAACGGTCAATTGGAGCGAGCCTTACGTGGTTGCCCTTGCTGAAAGCTTTAGTGCACAGCTACACAGAATTGGCTTGAATATGCATAAACATCTTTAAAGTAAGCGGCCCCCCATTCACCACACGCTTCCCTCCTTTTGAATCCCTCAGCGGCGTGGGCCATCGAACCATTCACCGTTCACGCTTGTCTCAGTACCTTTCATTCAACGAGCAAGCATTCAAAATACAATTGAAGAGTATGCGGCAACTTCATTATTGCCCTCAACATTGCGATATCCCATTGCCTAAGACCTGCCACCAATGCACGTCCAAAACCACCTCCTATGGGGGCGCCTGACCTGCTTCAACACCAGATATTGCACTGCATACCTAGTTCTGCTGTATACGTTCATTTTCTGCCGAGCCGAATATCGGCTTACGCATTCACGAGTGAAGAGGAGACTGACTACGTATTATACAGAGTGCGATGAGCTGTATATTCAGGTGTATAAGCCTGTATAAGCCATAAAATCTCAAACAATTCTGACTCCTGCCACAATTCCCGTAGGCGGCAGGCTGGGACATCTTTAGCTGGGATATATCTTCCACTTTAACTTACTATATCTTTGCCGTCTACCACTTCCCGGCAGGTCCATTTCAGTGAACCCTGCAGCTCTTTTCCAGTGAATGAACTCCCTGACAAAGCAACAGTACGATGTGCATCTACTTACGGGGCATCTGCAGGCTCTTGTCGTTGAGTGCGGACCTGCGGTTGGAGACGACATGAGAATTAAACAAACCTTCTAGTGATTCGCTTTGAAGAGGAAGTACGTATTGTCCTTTGTTTACAATGGAGAGCAAGCAACCAGACGAACTGAGGCTTTCTGCCGTAATCGGCATAAACGGGACCTCCAAGAAGTGTGTTGTAATGCACCCTGACAACCAACGGCTGATATTCGCCCTTGGGTATTCCGTCGTTGTCCGGGATCTCAAATGTAGCTCAGAAGCGTTTCTATGCGGGCACGATAACCGAGTCACTTGCATCGCCGTAAGCAAAGACGGGAAATACCTTGCCAGCGGACAGATGACACACCCAGGGTTTGTGGCGGATATCATTATTTGGAGCCTTGACGAGTTAGTAGAGCTCGGAAGACTCAGGTGGGGACCTCGCATTATATTAAGTGTAATTAACATGCTAGAACATTGAACTCATGCTTTGAACACTGGTTAACAGAGTTTGTATTGTTGGAGTTCAGTTTTCACAAGGTCTCTGTTGAGTGCCTTGACTTCTCCTGTGACGGCAAGTTCTTGGCCAGTTTGGGTGGGGAGAGCTGCAACACCCTGGTTTTGTGGAGCGTTGAGGAGAGAAAGGCACTTTGTGGAACGCCAGCTGCGCTAGAGACCTCGAAATGTTTAGCATTTTACAACAACTCGCCGAATACGCTTGTCTCTGGTCTGTCTTCAGCCAGTGCTGAGCCCATGCTACAGCCGTTCAGGAAGTCCCTCATAAGTTTACATAAATGATGACCATTAACATCCTCTGTTTGCTCAGCTGGAGCTTCGCATGTTCGCATTTGGGAAATTGATGCTGCTACAAAGAAAATGACACCACGTGATTGTAACCTTGGTAAACTCCGCAGGACTTGCAGCTCACTCGTCATTCACCCGGCTGATGAATATGTTTACTGCGGGACTCAATCTGGTAAGGGGCCGCGCTCAGGGCGTCGAGGAGCAGTTGAACAAGCACCAAGCCGACTAGCATCAAGCACACCGATACTCTTGCAGTTAAGGGGCAGCACGTTACCGACATAATAATAATAACTGTTACGTTGTAGACTTCCCGTAAATTTTCTACGGACTCTATAGGAGACGGTGAACTCGCCTGCTCACGCCTTGTCCTGTCGCCGTATTCCTCAGGCGATATCCTAGAAATATCACTACGAACGGGGCTATTTAAGAGAAGCGGGCCACCCAAGCGTCAACTTGAGGCAGGAATTACTGCAATGGCTCTCGTGCGCAGCCAGCTCTTTGCAGGCACTGAAGATGGCCAGCTGCTTCGCCTCGGAACGGATAGACTGTCTCCAGCGAGCCTATGTCAGGTTTCTGGGGCAATTACGTCTCTTGTTGCAGCCCCTGACAGCTCCATGCTCTGGGCTGCTACGTCAGCGAACAACCTTTACAGAATCGATGCTCGGACACTTACGCCTCATCTTAAGCACTCAGCGCATGTTGGGAGCATAAACCAAGCAACGTTTCCGGAGGAGTGCTCTCAAATTCTGGCCACTTGCTCAGCGTCAGATGTGAGATTATGGGATATGAAGACTTACAGAGAAATGCTAAGGATTCAGCTTCCCGGTGTGGAGTGTTTGTGTGTGGCTTTCGCTCCGGATGGATCCTCTATAATATCCGGGTGGAAAGATGGGAGGATTCGGGCATTTACTCCGGAAACAGGAAAGCTCCTATTTTGCATAGAGCAAGCGCATAAGGACGGGGTTACAGCGATAGCAGCGACCCGGGTGGGCAGACGGTTGGTGTCAGGTGGTCTCTCCGGCCAGTTCAGGGTGTGGGATGTCCACAGCAAATCTCAAGAGATGCTGGCTAGCAAGAAAGAGCACAGAGGAAGGATCTGCAGCTTGAAACTCCGCCGAAATGACATGCACGTAGGTTTGTTCAGGATGCCTGAAGTATTAGACCCCAGAGTGCGGTGGAGAATGAAATGGGAAGATGTCCACACAATTATTTACACATTTTTGTCTTATTTTCCAGGTGACATGTCCATTCAGGCGCTCACAGCTGCTGAGGATGGCACGATAATCGTGTGGGATATGGCAACATATTCTTCCATACTGTCTATCAATGAAAGTACAATCTTCCGAGTGGGTTTCCAGCAACTATTCAGGCACGCAGTGGATGTACAATCACTTGCAGGCACATAAAATGCCCATGTAACCTGACTGTGAAAAGCTCTTTTCTCTCCCTTCTGCATTTGGATGCGCAAACCGGCAGAGTGCAACATACTGTGCCGATGAAGTCCACATCGTGGCAACAGGCAGTGATAGGAAGGTGCACTACTTCGATGCCCTAGATGGTACAAAAATCAGGGACTTTGAGGTTGCAGAAGAAGGGGATGTCAATTGCATTACTTACCATCCGAAATCCAATTTAGTCTGCACCGGTGAGCCAGCTGTCGGGCACCACACTGTCACACAAAGCAATCGGTATTCAAAACCCTCACTGTCAATATAAGTGTTCGAAATATGCTGTTCCTCCAATAATAGAAAACTTGATTTGCGTATGTTAGCAGGAGGCGATGACCGTTTCCTCCGACTATGGGACTATGATTCTGGCGACTGCATCGTGCAAGCCCGCTGGCATGCCGACACTGTTCGTTGCGCTTGCTTTAGCCCTGACGGTAGTGTTCTCGTATCTGGTGGTGACAGTGGCGTCATCCATTTTTGGCAAATATCTGAGCAGATTCGTTCAAAGAGCACGGAAATGGAGACGTAGGTGAGGGTTGTTTTGGGGGAATTTCCGTCTTCTGAGTTCTTAAACTCTAGTGCGGGAATATGCGAGTTTACAAGGGCCTCAAGTCTGGGTCCCTTTCGCTCTGCTAGTCGTGCACTTGAGAACGCTTAGGAACTCTTGGTAGGATATAAGTTGCAAAGAGCAACTGCCGGCTGAGGGGCGGGCCTGGAGCCTACATCGGTATTTACTATAAAAGTAATTTAAAGGAAAATGAGCAATAGTACGCATATCTACTTAGCAAGCGCATCAGTTGTGTCTGAGCTTGCAGTTCCCACTTCTTTAAATTCATGCTTCGAATCTGCATAATCTGCACTCATAGTTGTGAAAGGGAAAAACTCAAAGCGTGTACTTTAGCGCTTTGTCCAGGTGGGCCATAGGTTCAGTCATAAAAAGGTAGCAGTTCCAGCAGTACATTGCGTGGCACCCGTCGGCTAATCCTCATTTTTTGAGTGGTCATTCATGTTCTACGAAGTTCACGTGAGAACTTCAACTAAGGAACCTGCGTGTTTGGTGCGCATTTTTTTCGTGCATTTGGTGTAAGTGGCATGCCGTTTAGTATTATTCCTTCACAACATGTAAGTGTCCTTTAGTAATTGTGACCGGTACGGCTTCAATCCATACGGTCCCCGGAGGGAATAAGTCCAATGATGTTAGCCGTCGAGTTGTTCTCATACACCCCGATGCGGCGTGTAGCTACCCGCTGTGTGAACTGCTGCGTAAACTAGATCTGGCCAAACTCTCCTGCAAAAGTTTGAATTCTAAGAAGGCCCGACGGCTTGCCACATGCCTTAGATGTGGCAAGCCGTCGGGCATGCAGGTGTTGAAGTCGGACAGGCTAGAAAATCTGTCGTTAGTAAGGCCCTGAACCCCGGAGTACGCACAGCAAGCAAACTGCAAGCATTACCCAAAGTCTTAGACACTGTGTAGGGCAGTTAAAAGCAGCGACAGACTTAGAATGAGCCCCTAAAAAACGCAGGAGGAATCCAACCCAGCCTCGATGATTCATGAGCACGGCGGCCAAACGGCATAAGGTTGCTGTAGAGAAATTGTGGTTATTTTTAGCAATCCTCGCTTCAACTTGTGTTGCAAGGCAGACCCACACGCAAATATTCCCATGTCTTCGTGCTAGGTAAGACTCTGCTTCGTGCGCCTAGCCCACAAGCACGTGGTGAATGCACCGAAGGGTGCCAGCTCCACGACCACAGAAAATTAGCCAGTAAGCATGCGTCTGCACAATCACTAGAGGGTAGCACTCGCAGGTGTATTCACGTTTCACGCCTTCATTTGGCCCAGGTCCACTAGAAGGTAGCACTCACAGATGCATTCACGTTTCACCCCTCCGTTTGGTCCCCCAACAACATGCCCATTGCAAATCCGGCTTGTGGTGAGGTGACATGGGATCTCCAATTTCCTTCATCACGATTTCCGCTTACGATGGGGTGTAAAGGAGTGGAACTATTAGACGAACTGCTCGTGACAAGCGATGCCGCAGACGAGCTAGCCTGCTGTTGCCTATGTCCTGCTTTCAGTATGAAACCTAATAGTTTTTCAAATGCCTTCCGCAATCAACTATTCGGTTGGGCATGAATGATCTCGTGTTAGTTTTCCATAGTATCTCTTGTTCCGCCATACATCCTTTGCGTGCCGATCGTGGAGCATACCTACGTCCCAGTGGTCCGAACTAACTCTTAAAAGTTGTGCCTCTGCCCAGATATCGCAACCAGATAACCCGACAATTGTTGCGCATCCATTCTGATCAGGAGGGTCCTGGCTGCAGCATCCCCTAGCTGGGTACATTCAGGGGATACAGTACTTTTCCACAGGAACAAGGACTTCTTTTCCTTCCGTTGCATCACGCGTCATACGTGAACTGCAGGGAAAGAAGGGGTATTCTTCATTAATTATGCCTGATCGAATGACGAGGCGATGGTTACAAGCGGAACGAGTGTTCTATCTAAGCTGGGATATATATGTTGCTCCTGTTTTAATTCCATGGAGCGTCCTGCCATTGGTCACCTTCGCACCAGAGGACAGATCCTGACCAATTCCCATTGGGCTGGTTAAGTACAGGTCGTATTGTAGATGAAGATTAAGTTGAGGACACCTGAAATGGTTTTGCCTCATTCTGCCTTGCTTAAAGCCTCCACGGCTACTCTACGCAAGGAAACCCAGCTATGGGATAGGCCTTCGCCGCTGGTACCTTCCCCGATCAACCAGCTGCTACCAAGCTCAACGACTCCTCCATATGTGGTGAGGGTGTCGCGAGTTGTAGTTCAGCCAGAAGGGCGTAGGAAAACAGTTCCCAAACACCAAGATAACCTGCTCGTTTGTACTTCATGCTCCTGGACACAGCTTGTCCAAGGATTGCTGCTGTGAGGAGGCATACCAACTCAACGGCACACCGTTCGAAGGAGCACAAAGTCCACTGTTTTCCACCCCTGTCAGGGGTTTGACAGTCAACGTCCCAGGGCGGCACTTGCACTGCATGCAAAACTCCAGTGCTCCAACAGGACCATCCCCTTCAAAACCATTTTCTGAGAGTAGATTTTGATAAGCATAGGTTCAGACTGCCCGGTCTTGGTTGCACGAAGCATCAGTGAGGGCGCACTGCTGCATTTGAATCTGGTACACCTGACCACATCATTGTAGTATAAGGCAGAGAAACATTGAGGAGGGGCATCCGGCGAACCTCGCGTGAGCAATTTCCGCTGAAACTGTCGTGGTATTCATACCGAATGCATCATAATGTCAATAGACACGGCTCAACAGGAAGTGACGTCTTCCATACTAGTACTTTCAACGAGCTTGTTGGCGGCGTTGACTCCCCATGTTCCTCATGCGCACGGCAAAACGAGCGAACTGCGCTCGTGTTGCGCACCTTAACGCAGTACAGTCAGCGGCATGAGCTTTAAAACGAAAACATCCTTTTTGACGCAGCAGTTTAGCCTTAATGAATTGACTCCCTCAACACTGTGTAGAAGAGAATCTTCCTCAATATAGGAGAAACCGCGTTGGCTTCCGTGCCCCTCCATTTCTTGCATAAACTTCAGGTCATTCCCTCGGGAAAATCAGCTTATTCGTTCTGTAATGAGTACCGGAGGTTCTTCCAACGGGCTAAAGATGTTGATATCTTCAAGAGGTGGAGGTTCGCTTTCTCGCAAAGCTTCTTCTAAGTTCTGGCTTTCTGGTTGCTTGGTTGCAATAGGTAGAGGATCTACCGAATGATTTGTGTGCATACCAGCATATTTCCCTGGCAACGACAACCCACCAAACCCATGTGGCTTTTTCTATGCCTTACGGAGCAGTTTACAAACAACCCTATGCGTCATAGAGGGCTGCAGTTTACCTGTTTTCGCTTGTCCTCTTGGAATGGGATGTTTACCAGATGATACCGCCATGCACTGGATCTCCGGATGCAGACTCACTTTTGGCATACAGATCCGCAGCTCGCCAGTTGTTTGTGAGCGCATGACCTACGAACAACCGCCTCTGCGCAGGAAGTGGAATTTTCTGCTTGCAACTTAGAGGAAAAGGCCACGGTTAGATCATGATATGCTCAACACACTGCACTGTAGTTCTTGCAGCGTGTATCAAGCACAAAAATGTCTGGTCCTTCTGTAGTTGAGATAGCTTTAACTCCACCACGACTTCAATGCCTAGTCAGCAAGCATCCAATACTACATAGATTTACCATATTGGCATGATTTTGACAAGTGGATGCGTCTAAGCAGTCTACAACACCAAATGAGATGAGCAGCTAGTGGCTGGCGTCCAAAGTATTTTTGCAAGCTTATGACGGATTCGAATAAGTTCCAAGTTGCTTTTTCACCAATAAAATTGATGATGCATGCCCTCTTAAAAGGAATATGAACTGAAGATGCATGTGGCTACCATATCTCCCGTCAAATAAATCTGCGTAGTGTGTGGGGCGATCAAATAGACTTTATGGGGGTAGATATGATCAAATAGACTCTAGTGGGGTGCATATAACACCAACAAAGTCCTGATATTCATTTTCGTTTGTTTACAAGGAGTTGTGTTGCTTAAGCTGAGAGCAGTCTAACCTTGGTATTGTCGGGAGAGATATCTTCGGGGAGCCTCAGCTGCGTTACCTTACCTAATCAGAGGTAATAGAAGAAAATGCAAGTATTACTGGCAGAAATGAGCAGCGGCTTATGGCTAAAAACGGCATGAAATATTCAAAGCCACCGAAAGGCCGAAAAGCACACTTTTCAGCAATTTAGTTCTTGGCGGCATGTGGTATTTCTTTTACCCTTAACGGTCACTCGAAGGTAGTTCGGGTGCACGTCGACGTCAATTAGCATAGTCGATAAGTGCCTGCAAAGAATTAATTAAGAAATTCATGCCGTAAAGAGCTTGTCCAAAAGTCAGTACAGATATCCATGCTCTGGGCGTCGCTTACCTCGGCAACTCAAACGTAACAACTATCAGACCGGGCTGGCTGTAAGAGTCCATGGTGAATTTAAGACGACCTGAAAGCTCCGCCAATTATATGGACAATGCACACTTCCTCTGTGTCTTGCAGAAAATAACGCCTATGCTCGCTTACGGGAAACATCCTAGTTAAACTGGAAAATAATTCGCACCTTGGTTGCATTGACGGATTTCGCCCTTGCTGTTGTACGTTTCAAATGGCTTTTTCTGCAGAGAAAAGCCGGTGCAATGAACCCTACACCTTGAACGGTTTTGCAATGTGAGCTAACGGACCGACATTAGAACACCTTTTGCGGGGCGTACTTGCGTTTTTTCCTCTTCCTCAGAGGTTGGATTCCTTCCTGCTTGCTGAATCACAACAACGTTCATGCGTCAATGCGCATGGAGGCATGTTCTATTCACCAGACTTTCGCTGGAGGATACTCTGATCTTATAGAAGATAAACGCACTATGCAGTGTTTACGGAACACACTGCCCTTAGATCACCTCATTTGCAGCACGTCCGTCGCTGGATGGGGGATGACTCTATGCTTACATGAGCCATCTCCTGGTACATTCTTTTGCGGTTTTCCCGCGTGTATGCATTCTCAGAATCATTTGCTGCGCAGTCGTACAGTATATGTGCATATACTGCCCTTCAATAGCTTGAAGAAGCTGCAACCCACAGACAGTTTGCCAATTTTTTGAGAGACTTCTCGTGCTTTCCTTTCCTGGAGCTTCCTCCTGACGTCGGATTTCTTTGGCAAGGTCTTCTTTTAAAGCGGGAAGTGCTCGCAGAGCCTGTATGCGTTCAACAGGAGTCACCACCTTTCCGTCTAGTTGCTTCAGTTGAAGTAAAGTTGCGATCGTAAAACTTCTGAAACCTGTCCATCTGCAGATATGAAGAGAAACGAGCTCAAGGGCTCTTTTATCAGCCCCCCAAAAGATGGGAGCTCACACCTACAGTGCTTGCCAGCACCTTGCAAGTAATTAATTTGTAATGCAGCCTTGGCTTCTTACTCTGTGCATGGATTCCCCATGAGATACAGATCTTCAAGACAGCTTAGTTGTTTTAGATTTTGTAGTGACTCCTCTAGCCTGGACAGGCTGATGAAGTTCACGGTAAGGTCAAGCTGCGGAAAATTGAAGCAAAACTAAGTGCAGAGTCAACACTTACTTGCCACGTAAAGTCACTACTTCTGCCAGTTTTGTTCTGGCCAGTTCGGGACCAGCCAAGTTGTCTTATTGTGAACGCTCTGCAAGGCTAGCATTGTGGTTAAACCAGGAATGCAGCGTGCCTTTTTAAGACTTTCACACCGTTCCAGGTTCTCTATGACAACAATATTGTTCAACGCAACATTCAGATACTCCAGGCGCTTTAGTCGTCGTAGGTTTTCAAGCCTGTCTGCGGCAACGCCCAGAGGCATATACTGCGTGATAGCTTCGCTTATTTGTAGAATATATACAGTCTCCGTGTCAATATTGTTAACCACGAAGCTTAAGCATATGCCATGTGGGGCACCCGGCCTGTGAATTTGTGGTGCGCTGCTTCCGTCAATTGATCCTTGTCCTCCTTCCATTTTGACCGTTCACGACGGGCATCCTAGCTCAACCCACCAATCAGGTTGTTCTGTAGCAGAAGAATTTTGAGGTCTTTGCACAAGCGGTCAAGGAGCTCAATCTTTTCAATTTCAAGCTGGTGCAGGGCTATTTCTTCAAGATCTTCCAACGATCCTTCATTGTGCTCCGACTTGCGGCGAATGAGGTCCTCTGTTATCTTCATCGTGGCTGCCAGGTAAGATAAATTCGAATTGATATCAATGGACAAATCAAATTTATTTGTATATTTCATGGAAAAACTTGCCACGCGTCTTGGAAAATAGTTTGTATACCAAGTGTGTCATGCGTTAACCAGCGTCTCCTCTCTTTTCGCACACCCTTCCACTAAGAAGTGGTGCACCACCTATTGCGTTATGCGGTGAAATAAAGCCGGTTCACATGATAGATGTTTGCTTTTAAAACCTGTTCGTACCTAATTTTTTATTTTTAAGCAACTTAGATGGAATCATGGCCCGGCCGCCGGATGGACCCGTAGGTCCCTGTGCCATGCACGGGCATCAGGACGCTGTCTGCCATACTGTGGTACTGTGACTAGTTCTGGTTCTTACAGTCGTGGCTAGTCTAGCAGCTTACGAAAGGCCTAGGTTAGGCACTTGCAGATGACTCGACTGGGTATACGACACATATACTTGTTCACTAATACTGTATTCATGCATCAGTACTTTGACCCTTCTTGTTAGTAGGGAACCAAAGCAGAGGTTCGTTGAGAAAGCCACCAAAATACTGAATGTTGGGCCACATGAGACGGGAGTAAAGGACGCATCCCGCCGTAGCGCGCCTTGCCTGCAGGCTTACTACAGAAGTTGCTTCCTGTTTAATAAGCTATACAACGCATGCAATACCTCCGGTTGCAAGATGCAGTGAGCGTTTCAAAACATACAAAAGGAAAACCATGTCGGCAAAGCTACTGTCCCCAGCTAGAGCTAGGCTAATAAACAGCGCCAGTAAACAGGCCTCAGGGTTCGTTCTTATTCGTTCGACCCGACTAAGTATTTACTGTCCAGGTGTCTTCCCTCCTTTAGAACGGGATTCTATGGGGCACATAGCTTGTGACTTAAACAATGTTGCGTTATTTGCACGTTTCTTTGGCGACTGGCCACCGGCAAAGCAGTGGGACGAGGGAACCCTCAACCAGCTTGAAAGCCACCAAAGCTTAACTTTTCAGGAAATAGCGACCCGTTAAAGCTGAAGGCATTGTTTGCCCCTGTGTTTGTTGTATCCTTTGAGACTTGCTTTGATCCTTCTTAGGCCAGATACTTTCTCTCTGGTTCGCTTGTGAGCTGCTAGGGCATTTCGGCATTCCAAGTAGCTTCCCCATTGGTTGAAACGTTGTTTACTGCAGTATTCGTGTAAATACAATATACTCACGCTTGTTGTCCTGTCAACAGAAGACTGTAGCTACCTTGAACAACTGGCATTACTGCTTGTGTCCCCTAATTTCGCCTAAGGTTGCTATTGTAGGGCTTGAAGGACTTGCCGCACATTTGGGATTGTAATCGTGTCAGTAGGCAAGATAAGTGAAATATGACGAGTAGCATTCTCTCGCCGAGTTAAGGCGTAATTTGTTCCAAAAGGAGTGAGGGCGCGTTTTCTAGGATGCGGCGTAAGGTGTTGACCTGGCAAAAGTTGGTGCAAACACGGCACGTAAGACGCCATTCGACTAAAGCCTGCAAAAGTTGTTTGTTGATGTTCCGGAGATACTGTACTTAATCGTTAAATGCAATGTGTTCAACCGAAAGCAAGCACACTACCATAAAGAGCCCACAAGTGTTCAATAAAAGCATGCTATACTAACATCTGCGACTTTAATATTGAGTTTGAAGACATGGATGTGCAAATTTAATAAGAGAGATGCCCTGGGGTTGTGAAGCGCTTCCATACAGACGGGTTTTGCACTGACGATAGTTTGCAGATAGTCTGTTCAAGGACTAAAAATGTCGTAGTCGCCGTTACCCATTTGAGAGGCTGTAGAAGGGATGAACATTTGTGCACTGGTTGGCGGGTTGGGTGCTTCCGCTAGCCCGGCCATCCTCTTACCTACTATAGACCTCTGGAACATTCTTCATGCCTGAGTGGGTTAGAGGGCACGTATTTCCATCCTGTGGTATACATTACATCATCTGGCGCTCAGTAGAACCAAATGCACAACAAGTCACATTTATTTCAGGACGTAAAATAATGTACAAGCCAGGTGATTTTGGGCAACTAAATAAAACCTAACAGTAGTTCTGCCGACACTGCAATCTAAAAGCACAAATAGTATATCACCGCTAACGGTCTCTTTTATTGTTCATTGCACCTTAGGTGTCAACGGAAATGCTTCATTTTTTTGGCTTTTTCCAGCATACCATTAGATATATCCCTCTCCAGTACCCAGTTGGCTATGAATTTTCTCTCTATGGGAGGCAGGCCTGCGGTGTGCCATTGGTACAGTAGAGCCGACTCGTCCGTCAAGCTTGTCTCCAGAGTGGACGGTACTTCTGGATTAAGCCCTCTCTCGGAAGCTTCCCTTAAATATGGTTTTTGAAATCTGCCACAACATGTTATACTATCGACGTGTCGTATAGGGGAGGCCAAATTGCCCTTCAGGTCTTTCTTGAAGGCTTTTACTGCAAGCGCTACTAAGAATACCTTCAATACAAGCACATGGGGTACTTCATCATATTTGAGCGGGTAGAGCAGTCTCGGGCTCTCCTTGTGAACTGCCGCACCACTAGAAAGGCTTTCAGGTGCTTAGCTTGCGGGTTCCCCCTTCTTGTAGCTGTAGTTGCAAAGTATGTGAAAACGTTCCTCATTCCTTTGGGAAATGCATTCCCTAGTACGATTGCTCTACTCAAGACACCCCAGCTATGGGTGGGCATCCAGCTACTGGGATTCAAACGTTCGTTGTTGCCAAGTGCAACAGAGTTTCCCGATTTAGCCTGGGTTTGGCAGGGCCTGCAGTACAGCCAATTCACTTGGTATAATAGCTCCTTCAAAAGGAGATGAAGTCCCATCTTGTTTTTTCAGCCATGCTCATCAGACTCTTTGAGAAACATGGCCCAGGGTAGCGAGAGAGAGCACCTCTGCTGAGCTGCAGAAACTGTGCGCTGTAGCTGCTGCATTTGCAGCATTTGCAGCAGCGTACGCTTCCATCTGCACGGTGCACGCACTAAGGCAGTAAACATTTCTGGCCCCTTCCTCTGCTTTAACTTGTCATCACTTAAGATCAAACTAAATTCTGTATCCATTGGACGTTTCTTGAAGGATGAATGCAAAGGGAAGGAAAGGAAAGTTAACGCTGCATTCTACCTTGTCTTCTGAGTGCTGTGGAAGTGTTCGTCTGATATCAGAAAATACTCGTGTTGCTAATTTTAGTGTGTCCAGCCTGCAGGCAATGGCTAGCCAGCCGAAATCGCTGTTCATGAGGTAACGAAAGCCTTATCGCGAGCATGAATTGTCCAGAGTATCTCGGGTCGTGCGCACTGCAGCTGGCTGAGTGTACACATTGAAGGTTGAGGCTCTAGTGCAAAACTGAATGCTTTACCATGTGCAAGATGCCTTCAGTGCAGGGCACATACGACAAATGAGACGGCAACCCGAGAGCTTACACATTCAGCTCTTTCAACTTCAGTGTTGAGCGAGCTCTAAGCGGGCAGCAAATTTGATGTAACCACCACAGTTTCCTCAACAGTACACAGCTGCCATTCAGAAGGACTGCGTGATCGTCGGCTGCTTTTTAATTCTTCGTCATAGAAAAGCTATCAACTCGAGGAAGCTCTAAATGCCATATGCACTCTCCTCGAGACGCACAAACTGCTTACAACGACCGCTGGTGTAAAGGCGGAAGGCACCAGACAAGGGAATATACAGCGTAGTGTACGTGCTGTGCTAGGCACACAAGCCGGATATTTCGCCACCATTTGAAATAAAGGATAACAGTGCCAGTACCGTCCCGGAATCTCTCTAGTTTGTTACATATGCGCGCCCACGCGTGACTGAGCAGTCTGTGTGGACCAGCCAGTTCGTGACGTCACGAATCCATTGCCTGAGCAGTTCCCCCCTAACAACAATACACACAAGAAAACTGTTCAAGAATTCACCGCACGTGAACATGCAAGGTCGCTGGAGAGGCATGCAGGGCATGTATTGTTTGCAGACAGCAGTTTAGTGGAGGCGGCCTCCGACAACCCGCTGGTCACTCACTCGTCCCTGTTGAAATTTCTCCGATGACGACGTACACGGCCAGCGCCATTGTCCCCACAAATTCATTAGGTTTTAATACAAGGATTTTGAAGAGCTGGAATCGGATCCGCGAATTTTAGGGGCCTGGGGCGGCTTTGGTGGCGAGCCACAAGAAGCACAGACAGGCCTCGAGGCGAGGACGGCGGAAAACGGCTCGAGCGAGAGAAGTGAAGCCACGGAATTCCCCCGGGGAACAAAAATATTCAAATAATCTGTTTTACATTGAAGACAGAGGCAAAAGGTGAGTGATGTGGTTGGAAGTCTTCTTGTGGAACGCCGGGTACCCTTCGAGAGCCAGGACTGCCAACGAAAGAGCGCCACTCTGCTGCAGCTACTGGGCTGCCCAAGGCATGTATTTGTGATTCAGGCTATATGCGCCAATATGAGGGCACTAAGGACAGGCAAATTGCTGCTTCTGGCGGTGGCAACAACACTGGTTGTCCTCTCCACACATTGTAGCACTCTACACAGTAAGCTCCCGTACAATGACGTTGGATTCCATAGGCCACCCTGCCAAGAAAAACCCTTGTATCTGCTTTTATGGGACAGCCGACAGTTGACTCACCTATACTTTGCCATTGCGCTTATCATCAGGCAAACCACATAATAGGTTTCGACGAAAACTACAAGCGGTAGGTGAAGACGGCTATAGCATGCGTAGCTGAAGTGAAGTCATTATTCAGTTGGCATACACCTTAAGTAGCCTTAGCGTGGGTGCCTGCATGCAGGTTGGCACAAGGATGAAGTGGATGAGATCGCCGAAGGTAAGTTTGCATAGCAGAAGCAGATCGAGGCAAGCCGCAAGAGCGATAACGCCTTACAACATCCTGTGTATGTGCACGGACTATGCAGCCAATCCCCATTGCCGACCTGTCTGAGATAAAGTCCCTTTCGGAATTGATAAACCGCATGAATGTAGCGGGTTTTAAGGGCCTCCGGACAGAAGCAGATTTTATATCGGTATTTGAAAGTGAGTGACCATCAGCATGCTGCCACTATCATTCAAAGAAAAGGAGCTGATGCATCAATTCTTTCCGTGTTAACTGAACTGTGTTGGCAGGCCTCCGAATATGTTTTAGAAACTTCTCTCCACCTCCAGGCCTTGTCCTTGACTTCACGTCAAATCCAGCCATGAGTCCAGATGACCACATTAGAAGTTTCTTCACTTTTCTCCCTCCTGGTCAATTTATCAGTGGCTTTGAAGTACATGGGCAGTCTCAGACTAACTCCGTTGAAGTTGGTGCAGACGGGGCTTCACCGACATATTCTGGAGATGCTCCAACAACGGACGCCCAGCCCAATGAGACACGACCCCTGAGGACAACACGCTTCGCTAGCAGCCCAAAACATGTTCTTGCACACATTATCAAGACTGTTTATACACACCTTCGCGGCCCAACATGCAAAGAAGCAGCAAGACGTCTGGATGGTGCCACTCGTTTCCTTTTACGTAACAATTCCAAAGCTGCTCTGATGGAGCCGCTCCTTATCTACTCACTTATTCAGGGGAATGCCGCATCCGCCATCAAATTCCAAAATGTTCAGAGCTCGCTTGAGAATACTAGTGACGACCTGCTACAGCTTCGGGATGTGCCTCAAAATGCAATGAACAGCTCACCACAGGCTGGTGTATACCCACCCCTCCTGTTGGTCTCTTACGTTGACCTTGGTACGGTTGCAACCGAAGCTAGTACATCGTGCCTGGTCACATTTTCTTGAAAATGAACTACACGCTGGACGTGTCGCACTGTCCGCAACATGTCTGTGTGTCTTTTCAGCTAAAGCCGGGTATACAAATGAGGTTAAGAAGTTCGAAAATTTCCTTAAGCGAAATGCTGACGAAAGGGTTGTAGGCAAGAAGCTTTTCGGCAACTCTCTCGCGAATTCCAACACACATGAGAGAATTACACGACTAGGAAGAGCTGTTGGAGTTGACAAGGCACTTTTGCAGAAAGTTGTCGAGCGGATTGCCCACTTGGCGATGGATTCATCAGATGCAGCATCAATCCTCATGCCCGATGCACCGAAGGTTGCGGCTTTCCTTCGCGGAGTTTCCTTCTTTGTATTTGAGGGTGTCTTCAAGCAGAATAGTAAGCATAAGACGGGCCTGTAGTAAGCGGCACCAATCGGAATCCAACGTCACGTTTGTTAACATGCATACATATTTCTTGGCTGCGATGCAGATTCATACGTTATGCCGGGGCTTCCATGCGGCGGCAACCTAACTGGCAGCATGTTGGAAACTTTGACAGGAAAGAAGCTCGGCACGAAGTACCTCGTTTACAAGTATACGAGTCCATTAATGGGTAATTCAATCCTTCCGGAGAGTGTGTGGGAGCCAGATTCCGAATCCCAACTTGCCCGGTATCTCAAAGAAGGCCCCATCGCAGACGGGAACTATTTGTTCCATCACCTGCCACGCGTTTGCGTGCGCCCTTCTCTTTTTTCAAAATGCTCGAAGAAGCTTCCATCTGATACGAAAACCAACGAACAACAGCTCTGCCACTTCATCCATACCCATCAGAGCCTCTTCTTTGAAGTCGACGGTGAGCCACAACCACTGCTGTGTTGGAACGTAGATTTGACTTGCTCTTTTTCTTGATACACGCAGGTTTAATTGTAGAAAGCAGTGTGCCGTATTTGTTTGCAGGGGGAGGGGTCAACATCATGCGCAAGAGCATGCAAAAGGGGCAGTTCACAGGCGGAAATGTAACAAAGAAACACAATGCGTTTGTTCGGAGCGCACGGGCAATCCGCAGTTTCTTCTTCAACAAAACATCTGCCGCTCTACTTCTCGGTATGGGTGTCGGAGCGCTATGTACAGCCTCAGGTTTAGCAGGGATTTTGGGCGGCTCCGTTTGTGCTGTCAGTGCAATGGGAGCGTCATCATTTCTTAGACATTTCTTCGCTGTCACACCATTTGGGACACATCCTTCTGTACCAGTCAGCCTAGGGGTTTTCTTAGCAAGTGAATTCGAGAGAAACCTCGACATCACTTCTGCTATGCTGGGTTTGCCTCTGATCAAGAGCACAGGTAGAGCAAGCCTGGAGCAAACCATGCCTGCTATGTAGCTGTTTTCCTTTAGATTTGGGTGACGGCGTTTGCAGCGCCGTGCAATTCTTTGCTGATTCCCTCCCCTCCTTCAGGAATAAGTTTTTTTTTTAGAACTTGACCTCGTTATACGCAGTCACTTTCCTTTTGTAGCCGTCAATTTGTGTCAGAATCTATTTCGGCAGAGTAAGCTGTTTCCCAGCAAATCACAGGCAAATTCAATCTGATAAATGAAGGTCGTGTGAAGGACCTGTCCCGGACTTTTGTGGGTTTTTGTACGTCGACCAGCAAGAAACTATCAGGCACTCTCTACGGCTAACGTTGACGATGTTTGCCATTCTGACCTGACATATCTCCTCCTCTGGCTGGCGTCCACGCTCAGTACGCATACTATTCTGCATCATAAGACTAGCTCTCAGTCGATGTTGAATCCCATCAGTGTACGATTTGCTCTGCACACCAAACCGGGTGATGCTGAAGTATTCTAGTTTCTAGATATTCATCTAAGCTCACTCGCATGTACTAGGGCAATTCAGTAATCCGCTCTTCACGTAGTATTGAGCCACCGGCAAAACCGGTAAAACAATGCGGTTTCGACGTTGATCGTCCTGTTGTCTAGGTCTGTTTGTTCAGCCTAGGCATTTTATCTGTTCTAAACCAAAGAATTTTACTTCCAGTGTCTGCCCGAAGCGACGCACTCAACATTTCAGCTTTGGACGAATGCACCTTCTGACAGTTGTTGCAGAGCAGAGATCCTCCGAGTCTCATAATATCTTGCTACGTTTTAGCTGTGGACGAATGCGCCTTCTGACAGTTGTTGCTGAGCAGAGATCCTTAGGGCCTCGTAATATCCTGCCGCACAGGAAGGGTAGCCTGCGGGAAGGTGGTCAACCGGATTTGCTGGAGGGAAGACGCCTGAGCGAAGCGGTTTACCACCCATTCACAGCGTTGACTGCAGGAGGGAAGATCTCTGAGTCAGCACCAGGAGCAGCAAAAATCAACCTCGGGGAACTAGTGCCTGCTCTCGATGTACCGTACGACAGTGTATAGCCTGTGCAAGTGTAGGTACCCTGCCAGGGCAATGTGGTACTTTCGGCGACGCGAACTCACCCTGTTGCTGTGCCGAGTCTCCACAAGTCTTGACTGCCTCCACCACAGACGCTGCCACACTGATCGACTGGCTTAGCAGTGTGACGGCCTGCAGCACATTTGAGCCGACCATCGCAGTATACGGTAAAACTACCTAAGTAGCAGCCGGCGAGTTGCTAGTATCGACTTGCCTGTTTCTTAAATTCGTCGCTGGTGATGGCGTCCATAGCTCTATCCACTGCCCCAAGTAGAACCACTGCACCCTCCTCCAGGTCTCCACCCTTGTCGCTGCCTGCCGGGGTTGCCTGCCGCACTCCCTGACCAGCAACAAGGCAGCTATCCCCACTAGTTGCCAGTGGTTGTTCTGCACCCTCATTAGCATTTTGCCCTGGAGTTGAGGAGGCCAGTGCTACAGCAGCTGCAGCGGCTCCGGAAAACATTTCCCCTACCAATTTCGCCGCCGAAATAATAGACTGCTCCGGTGAAGGGAAGCCGTTAGGCTTTCGTGGGTATTGTTCCGCATGCTGCCTGACAGTAATTTCACTGGCGCTCTCATCGTTAGAAGAGAAACATGATACATGGGGAAAGCAACTGTTACGTTGGTGGGCACGCTGCGGCTCTTGTTCAGTGTTTGCCTGCTGTTCTGGTGTGCTGTCTTCAGTGCTCCCAGTTATACTTGCAAGAGCACCGCACTCTGCAGAAGAAGATTCAGTCTGAAATATACGATCCTGCTTAGGATGCCCTCCATGTTGGTTTGGCATTGCTTTGGCTGCTTCGGCCGCCTCTGCTGCACGTGCTGCAGCTGCAGCTGCACGTTCACCAGCTGCTGCTCTGAGGGCAGCTGCCACCCTGTGGGCCACTGAGCAGCTATGAGGGCTGAGAAGTGCTTGTTGTGTACCATGGTGCTGCAAGCAAACCGCCTCGGCTCCAGCCGCAAGCATGTGAGAGGGGACGTTAATGTGTTGTTGTGGCATCGGGCTCCCCTCTCTGGCTTGTTTCCCCGCAACTGCTGTTTCATCCTTTGGCTTCGGCGAGGATATGCCCACTGAGGATGTCGGCTTGGACTTAAGTTCTGTCTCGTTATCTGGTCGGATTTCTCTCTCGTGCACTGATGGTTCGTCCTGCAGCTGTTCAGCCCGTTTCAACCGCTGGACTTCAACTGGCTGCTGAGGAGCTTCTGAATGAGACTGTGCGATGAGGGGCTCTTGTAGCTGAAGAGTTTCGTTGCATTCCTGAAGTGGCTCAGTGGAACTAGAAGGTCCGTTGACAGGTGGGTCTTGTGGAGGGGCCGACTGCGAAACCGTTCCACTCGTTCCTTGAGGTTCTGCAGCAGTCGATACCTTTTTCAGAACCTGGACTTGTCCGCTGAGAATTTTGGGGTCATGAACACCATTTAATGGCCTGTTCCGGCGCGCATTGCCTCCAGCTACCTTGCACGGTAAGCATGTTGAGTTATTGGCCCCCATTTCAACCGGGAATCCCAACCGAAATTCGCGGGCCAGCTTAAAGTTCTCCAGTTTTCAGCAGATGGCTGAGTGTCTTTGTTGGGAGGGATAAGTGGAGCTGCCCCACCTATCTCGAAAATAGGCGGAACCGACGTGGCACGGACGACACAGAGGCTGACACTGTTTTAGGACTGTTGAGCTGCCTCTTCGTCCCCTCCAGAATTAGATCATTCTCAGCCGATGCATACAAAACCATAATCTATCGTGTCAGTTACGGTCCATGTCACTTGTACACACTTGCATGGTGTATGGGTCAGCTGGCGAGTGGGGTGACGCCTGGCTTACAGACGTCTCCAACAGTTCGGGCAGTTGTGCAGGTACTACCTTCACCCATTCAAGACCTATATGTATTTGCATTCCACAAGAAATAAAGCAATTATGTGAGTGAATTAAGTTGTTGGAGGGTTCCGTTAATGCTCACATTTCGGGCCGTGGTAAGTGGTGACCAGTGGCTGAACGGAAACGGAAAGCCTTCTATTCAAGAGGCCCTCAGTAAGACACAAGCGCACTAATTCCCACCCGTATATGCGTCGAAAAATCGGTTTTTTTTTTTATTTCAGAGGTCAAATGGGCAGTCAGTGCGCGATAAGCCTATAGCCATGTTGTCAGCATGCTCGAGCTCTAGCTTATATAAGTACGAGGCTGTCGAAATTCGTAACATTAGAAATGGGGACGTGCGCTTGGCCTAGCATCACTACTTTCTTGAACAGAGGAAGTGCTCCAGTTATGAGCAGTCTGCTGTCTTGTGCATCGCATCCACTTCTACCATATGATGCCTCAAAACTTACCAGTTTAAATATTTGGCAAGCGTGTTCAAAAGGCAACAATTGCTAGTTAGCAGACGCTACAGGGATATTTTTAGGATGACACCTCTGTGGTGTGTAGGTTGCGAAGTGCGCTACAATCTGGAGGGCATACAAGGGAAAAGAGAACGTGAGAACGACAAAAAAAACGGCATTTTTTGCATATTCAAAGTGTATTGCTGTGTACTACATGACATTTTGTGTGAGGACAATGCCGGTGCAGTTACTGTCCCTGTTTATGGTGTCGTACGAAGTAGGCGTGGTGAGGAGCACTCTTTTGTTGTCCGTTTTGCAACTAACCACACTGCTGCAACAGAACGAAAAGCAGTCTATCTATCAAGTGTGCCGACTGAACCTATCGCGTCGGAACCATCACATCGTCCAGCTGAGCAGCTGTTTGTTCCCGGTTTGAGCACATGGAAGGGAAGCAAGGAACTTCTACGATGTGCTTAGCTGACCCTGCGCATACCGTTTGCGGAATCTAACTACGTTGACTTGTGGGGAAGCGAATATTTACTGTTATATCCATCTCCACTACCCTGCATAGCAGAGCTGAGCAACACCTTGTATTTTAGCCCAAGGCGGCTTCAGTGTTTTGGTCAATCCAAATGCATATCTTTGAGAAAAAAATACAACTACCTCAAAAGCGTTATATTTCTTGAACCCCAACATACAGTTGCAACTAACTTTTTGGGGTCGACTAAGTTTGGACTGGGATATAATTCTATTGTGGGCCAGCTCAGGATAATACTAGCAGTCCAAATGTTTTCAAAGCAATCCCCAAATGCCATTTCGGAAAACTCTCACAAATAGGGGATCTGGAATTCCTGAGGCAGCGTTTTATTAACTTCACTCAGGAGCTCCACTTGTTCGCATCTAGCGAGTCCCCAGATATTCTTAAGAGCGTTACTGTCCCTTTTTAGTGCCTCTGCTCTGTCACCGCACTCCTCGAATGCCAATGTGTAAGCGTCCTTTGCTACTGCAGGCTCCAGAGCATCTATTTTGGTTGCTTCGGTAGTCTTCTCACTTGCCTGCACAGCGCATTCAACGAGCTGCATGGCAATGAGTTTTCATGTGGCAGCTGCATGGCAGTCAGTATCCATGCCAGGTGCAGAAAGGTAGCTGTTGATTTTTGGGCGAAATTACCTGTTCTACAAAGTTGCTGGCAACAGACCGAATGGACCTCTGGTGAGCACCAGGAGGCCACAGTGCCCCTGCTGGTACAGTAGTAAGCTCAAAGACGTTGCAGCGGAGAGGGGGTATTTCCGCAAATGGTGGGAATATATTCCTGACAGCATGGTCTGTCTTCGCTTGAGAAGCTGCCTAAAACACCCATCATAGCTATCCCAGTTTCAAATTGTGTCAGCCGCGCATGTTGAAGCTTGCTTCCAGTGGGATTCACTGTATTAACATGCACAGTAGTCCACAGGCAAGGTGCTAGCGAAAGGGCAGTCCGACCGACAAAGCACATGCTTATAAGCCCCGGTAAATGGGCTGCTGCAAGAAGACAAACTTGTCAAACCAAGAGGTTGGCCCGCATCAGCCGGTTTCAGGGATAGCACAACTGTACAGCTTACTCCTGGATGGAGTTTAGGCGCACCTGAAGGAAGATGTATGCGAGGTCTGTCTCCACAATGGAAGGCAGTTGCATACAGGCGCTTGAGTAGGGAGGCACCGACGCTACAAAACGCCACGCTACTGCAGCCAATCCCTCCGGATCCTCAGGTGGCAAAAGGGCAACACTATCCAAAACTCCATTAATTCCTTGTGAAGCCGACCTCATCAACATCGAATGTCCAGCATCATCTGGGTTAGCGGCATACGAGGACGTCCAGGACTTGTCATCTATTAGTGGTGGAGTTGCTTCTAGCAGAGACTGAAGGAGATCCGCATCTGTAACTTCTAAACCTCCAGTGCAGGTTACTACGTCTTCTTCCTTGAGGTGGAAAACATCAATATCACGCTTGGATAATGGTGATAATGGTGCGTTGTGCTGCATGCACGTGAACAGTTCTGCAACATTAAGGTCCTCCTTCCCCCAGAATTGCGGACCAGGAATGCTCTGCCATTCCGATTCACCGTTGATGTCCGTGGACAGCGATAATCTCGGAGGAACAAGTTTTACTTTCCATCTGTTTTCTTCACCGAAGCTGTGTGCGTCTTGTCCCTGTACGCCTCCAGGAGTTTCTGAAGATCTCGCATTTGTTGAGCCATCTGGCCCGCTTAATACTGGGACTACGGTGCTGCTTGGACTGTTGGAAAGGCCACTTGAAGATTTAGCATATTGCTGTGTTGTGTCTGTGTGAGTTGGAATACCCTGCTGGCACCGCTGTTCGATATTCCGCTCTTGTGCACGTTGCGGTAAGTCTAGGCACTTCGGCGGGGTGTTCTGATGTTGTTTGCCCTGGATTCCCGCTTGATTAGCCTCTTCTCTCAAACTATGGGAGCGGATCCATGAGCGTAGTGCCTCTAGACGTCTCGCCATCCTTGTACGAAGCACTACTGCTGCTGCAGCCTGTTGAAACTTTTTGGTTAGTTCACTTCGCCACAGCTGCTGTAACATTGGCCCCTTCTCTTGCACGTTGGAGGTAGGGTCTGGATGGTTTTCTTGAGTGTTTCGGGACGGAGCAACAGCGGCACCTGCGAACGTGCAGCTGCTACGGTTCCTGTCTTGAATTTGCAAAGACTTCAGCATCTTTTGGACCTCCTCTGCTCTTTTCAACTGAATTTTCTGGACAACAGTATCAGATGGCTGGGTGGCGCCCTTAACAGTATGCGTTCCCAGCTTTTGCGCTCGCAAAACAGCCACCAATTCGGCCCAACGTTCATCCAAGGACTGCTTGGAAGTCGCGCCATCGCCGTACTTGTTGCTGTCAATGCGTTTAGTTGCGCTGGTAGTACCGAGAGGGTAATTCGTCTCTTCTGTAGTACATTCTCGCCTGCGCAAAGGATGTTTCAGGCGGTGAGGCGTGGATACACGAGTTGCCTTACCCTCGGTCAAGTATGCATTAACAGTAGCTGCTGGAGTCTCCACGCAATTTTCGGGATTCAGCTGTTCTTCTTTGCTGTTCAGCTTTATAAACGTATTTCCAGCCTGTCCATTGAGCTGGTCATATTCGATTTGTTCACCCGTTTGGGGTGTGCGGCAGTGCTCCGGATCAGATACGTGCGCTGCCCCCAATTGAGGAGAACTCTCAAGCACCTCACAGCTCTTCCTACGCACCAGTATGTTGTGTCCTGCAGTCTGCAAGGGTACGCCGTTCCCTGTTAATGTAACTCGATGGGGACTTGAGTTACGACCAAGAAATATCAGTATATCTTCTGAGTATTCGACATTGAGGCGAGGAGCGAACTGAAGCCAGAGTGATACAGGATCCCTAGGGCCGATGATGCCCTTCAAAGGCTCCACTAAAAACGCACTAATTTTTCTCGTTAGTTCTACCCTATACTCGACAGCAGCCCATAATGCAGCTGGGAGAACCAGGCGTCGTCGCTTTACTGTTCCTACCCTAGTGGGACCAAAGTCCAGACTGGATACTAGGGAGAAAGGAATAAAGTCATCCTCTTTTTCACACTCATACCTCCCGTTGGACTCAATGTTAGGAGGTACAACAAAGTCATCTCCCCTCACGCTGCAGCGCACTACCGCTCGTAGAGGAATGCGGGTCAAAAACAAAGAGTCCTGGAATCGTTTGCCCCTTTCACTCTCTCTTCTGTTACAAGACACCCCTGTTGCATCTCCTGCTGAGCGAATTGACACTACTACTTTAATGAAGTCTGATTGTGGCGCGTACACATCAGGAATGAAAGAGACTAGGACGCGTTGCACCATCCCAGCAGAAAGAAACGGTTTTTTTCGTTGGCACGATACAGAAAATGCATTTGACGACGGAGGAAGCACAGCAAATGAAACAGTATAATTGGTGGTGTTTTGCAACACAACTTCTTTTGTAAGTGGCTTCAGGGCTTTGCACGAATCATGATCCGTGCACTCGAGTTGGAACTCGAGGTTCGCAGGTGTAGCCCTGAGTACACAATTGTCGTCTTCAAGCTGGAAGGCTAGGGACAAATCTTCCTGTGAGGAAACCTTGGGATCATTTCTGTTCTTATTGCCTTTTGCCACAGCCGCCGGTTCTCGCACCGGGTGGCTAAAGCGCTGTACGCGCTTCGTGCCTGTGGATGTTTCATGATGAGATAGTGTGGGTCCCTTGATGTGCCAGCAAAAATTGTTATTGAGGTCCAAAGAAGTCTTTCGGACAACTCTACGGTTGATTCGATCTTCCTCCTCCGGAATTTCCGGGGGTCCATCGGAGTCTGAGCTTGGCGTGGCCATTGGGCTTCTTCTGTACGTGTGGACACCACTGTGGATCACTCCCTAGTTTCCCCTCCACGACACATCATACACTTGATACTTCATGAATAAACTTGTCGTAAACTTGAGGAGCTCGTGTGCGCCTTCCTTACCCTGTTTGTTCGCGTTCCCATACAGACAGAATGTCGAGCCAAAACGAACCTGCAACGGAAAGTGTGTGTTCGAAAGAGGCCTCCAGGAATCGTTTTAGCCCATGAACCCTTCCTCAACAAAACGTTTCACAGAATAATCAAGGAGTTCTCTCCTTTTGTAAGACCGATGCCTGCGCGAAGGTGTGCACATGCACAACAGCCCCATTCCCACGTAACTGGAACTCTGTAGTGCCCGGCACTACAATGTGTTGGATTTGGGTTTCCGAAACAGTAAGAAGAGAAATACGGATATTGAATACGGCTCTGTTTACACAATCAAAGCAATTGGTTGCCGATCGCCTAGCGCCACGCCCCAGGGGCCCTGGTACTGCTCGCAACCGCGATGCGTGCTCCCGCGGGCCCTGTGGCTGAGACAGTCAGATTTGCTAGAATGGCCTTGTGGCCTAACAGAACTGGCCCTTGGGGTGAAATTTGAGGGGAGCGTTTAGGCTTGGATGTTAGTGTGCACCTAATTAGAATACGGAAATGGGAATGTAGCCCTAGTGGTACAGCGCTACAAACTCAGTCCTGCTGACAGCGAGGGAGAAGCGCACTCAGTTTTTAACCGTAAAGTCAAATGCCACACAACAGTGTACTTTAGCTGGTTATGTCTTGCTGCCTGCTAGTTCTTATTCTCACGACGCAACATATAGTTGTTGTCCACCGACAGAGTCCTCCCCCTTACGGAACCGCACAGACCAAGCGCTAAAATGTCACAGAAGCTTGAACTTGGAACGTGATATTTGGCCATAACTTAGTACAAGAGTTCGTTGCTACTGTTTGCGAAGGAGGGAAAGAAATGACCTTACAGAGTCAGGTTACACCGGCAGAGTCTAGCCACAGGAAACACGCAAACAATAAACGGAGAACATTGTCATCCATCAGGCAGTTCGGATAAGAAAACAAGCTTAGCGACTTTTATCTAGGAGTCTTGAGCAACGAATAATTACTCCACGTTCGCAGAGCCAGAGAGCGTTTGGACATCTTTGACTGGACATGGTCGGAGTGCCGACTTTTTACTTTAGCGGGAAGGAAAGGTTGAAACATTCCATTTTGCGTGCAAGTGGATGACTGCAGCATGCAGAGGTGGCGAATTGTCAACGTTGTACAGAGGTTTGGCCTCTTCTACAAGACTTCATCGTGAACGTCCGCTGCAGGCTGAACAGTACAGCTCCACAGAACAGTACAGCTCCATACTAGAGGGAAGCCGGGCGGCGCACAATCCAGGGTAACTAGTCCAGCGACATATACAAGATCACAGATACGGCATAATGCCACAGTGAGAAATATCAGCATTCCAAATGGTTGGCACCTTTAGGCTAGTGGCTCGATAAAGACTTCTTTGTGTTCGTAAAGGCCAAGAGGGCCCCCAGCAAAGAATTCTCTAGTCCGCTTCTCAGTAGTTGGCTTTTGACTCCGGTTGTATCGACCTGATGCGCAATAAGAAACTGTACGGCGGACGTGCAGCACGTGGCAATCAACGCAGGCGAGAAACACAAAAATGTTGGAACTGGAGTAGAGAAAGCTAAAGGGGAATTACAATTGTATATTTCGCTGAAACTAAGGTCTAGGTGATATCTCCTTCTAGAAGAATTTTGTCCTACTTGGGCGCGCCACATGCCTGATGACCCACCCTGAGTCGAGCCACAGGATGGTCAGGAAGCCTGTGCAACAACCGGCAAAGATCATCTAGCAATAACCTAACATGCCCTCCTCTTAGGAATAACATCCTAGAGGAAAACAAATCGGGGTACGAAAGAGCGAGACGGGACTCGAACCCGCAACCTCCGCCTCCGGAGGGCGACGCGCTATCCATTGCGCCACTCACTCAGATGACCTCCAGAACTTGTACGTGGCCTTTTTGGTTATCAGCTTCGGGCTAAGAAAGAGCGAGACGGGACTCGAACCCGCAACCTCCGCCTCCGGAGGGCGACGCGCTATCCATTGCGCCACTCACTCCGACGCCGTGCAGAACTTGTACGTGGCCTTTTTGGTTATCAGCTTTTCTTTATTTTTGTTGTCATTATGATACCATCTGCCTTCTACCGATCTTAGTCTTAGGGTTGTGTGAGCCGCATGCCTTAAAAGCAGAAATTCTTTGGGACAAGGCTACTGTATAAATCCATGTTGACCAAACAGTAGGTACTACAACAGCTACAGATTTTATGCTTGTACAAACGCCTGATCAATGTCTGCCGATAAATCCTTTTCTTGTCTTTGTGTGGTTGCAGATGTGATTTCCGAATAGCTGCAGCCGATTTTAATGGATATGAATGATGGCTCTCTAGGGTTGGGAAGAATAGCCATTGCTCGATGGGGATTAATATCTGCATCATTGAAACAAGATGAAAGGCATATTCCTGCTTATTGTTCCTCTCCCGTGCTGGCTACAACATGGAAATATGCCTAGAGTGCACTTGCACAGGTGTGCTTACTTGATCCTTTCTTGCATAATAGAGGAAGCGTACATATTTCAGGAAAAAGTGTGAATACGTGGTCTAGTATGCGCGTATTTCTGTGTGTTCGAAGGTTACCTACTGCGGAACAGTAGTTGCCCGCAGTGGTGATATATGCGCCAATGGCTGGCGTAAGTATGCTTGCATGCGAAATTGTTATACAGCAGGACTGATATTGTAACCTAGATACTGTAACCTAGAATACACTAACTCTACGACAATGTATACTCACAATATTGGAATTATTTCACCCCAAATTGGAGGAGTATCTGTACAGGACTTACATCTACTGCTTTCTAACACCACAACTAGTTGAAGTTCTCATCATAATCTTTTGTCGGCGGTAAATCTTTGCCGTTTGTCTCTGCCGCTTAGGCGCTACCCAACCATAGTGCACAAGCACTACGCGAGCAGACGTTTCTTATCAGTGGTTTACATGGTTCATACATACAAGGAACTTTGTTCGTACTTTTTGCTGAGCCTCTCATGCACCTTGAATTGCAACTCATGGGAGGCCGGTCTCTGCCGCGCAACTGCAGTGCTTCTACCAGCACTCCTCCAGATTGCGGAACGAGGTCAGCTGCTATTAGGAAACTTTCTTGTTGAGGATATGGTATCCATTAAAGCTCAGTATAGTTAATGGATGACATCAAGCGCGTGGCGTGTGGTGTAGGTAGTCACACTCTGGTGGCAAAATAACTGGAAATCCGACATTAAGAGAGATTAGAGCAATGTCGGTGGAACAGCCCTATGAACCTTCCGAAAGCTGGAAGGTTATCTTATAGAAAACGATTCTTATCTAGACGAACTAACTATCCGACATGCCATGTGAACTCCGCCCACAGCCCCAAAATCCTGCGCATGCATCTGGTGTGCAGCCCCATGGAACACATTTGCGTGGCAGAGCGGGTGTGCAGCCCGACGGGGCACTTTTTCGTGGCAGAGCCGGATTAGGAGTACTCTCGTCCTGAAAAAAGCCACGATGGATGCATAGAACAGGGTCAGTTGTAGTCCCCCTGAAGATATGAAAAGTACGCGTCCTGTCCGGTCCCACTTCAGAACTGAAGACCAGTCTAGGCGAAGTGAAGCCTTGTCTCTCGCTCTCACCACTACGTATCCGCCCTCCGGAAACAGCTGTCGGCTAGAAGGAACGTGTTGGCATGCTTGGAACTAGGTACATGACGAGCGGACCAAGGTGGCTTGTCTGACGCGGACGACATTTCACAACACAGTGTTGTCGTCCAGTGTTGCCCAGCAGCTTGTTATTTGACCGAGCGATCCACTTCTGCGTCAAGAAACCCAACCCTCTCAAGGGAAGTGTGATATGTATCACGCCCACTGATCTAATGAATTTGTGATCAACTGCCAATCCAGCAAAGGACTACTGTATTATCCAAGTTCATATCACTCACCGGAGTTTGACACATCAAGAACGTTAGGCAGGTGGAGCAGCGAAAGAGTGTTTTCCTACAGAAGATTTGCCTACCTATGACCCAAAACATTCTGAATATCTGCAGTGGTGGGCCTAAGTCGGCATTTGTGGGTAATGTATTACACCAGCTTTTCGTATCAGGAGCACCTGGGCCTACGTCCGATTCTCACCGAAACCAGTCACACAGCCAACAAAATGCTAGACTTGGCTTCTTTGAATGCCATATTTGTCTCTTACCCAGAAAACCGATACGGTCTCCTAATGTTGCACAGACACGAAAATCAGGTGAAGGCTCCTACCTGACTTCAAATAATTTCACTGAGCCGTATCGCCTGTGCTCCAGCAGTGGACCCCCCTGCCTGAAGGGGAGTATACTACGCAAAGAATTTTCCAATGAAGCGAATCCAACATTTCTTGTCCTCCAACCACCTAGCAGTGCTGCAATAGATAATGCGTCAAGCTGCACGTCCGAAGTGGGACAAAGGTTCTGGCGGGTTACATCCATAATTGACCCCTTTGGAAACTTGTCCTCGAAACACATGCGCACTCCACAGTTCTATCAAGTTGAAGGAAGAGACAAAAGAGAACCGTGGGATGATGTGGTGAACCGCGTAGCTCACTGGTTAGTTGTACACAAGCTAAGCGCCACTATCCTGCTTCTGGGGGGCAATCGACTTTCGAAGAAGAGCCTGGCGAAGCATGAACTTGACAGTACTATTAACTGCAAGCAGGAAAGCGAATACCGCTGGAGGCCTTGCGTTGCTCAGCGTGTTTGCGTCCAAGCCTTTGCGTTGGGGCGGCTCCCAAATAACCCCTGTAAGAGGCAATAAATGTAAAACCAGCACCTCACCACTGCGAGCAGCCTTTCCAGGCAGGCACGCCTGCCTGACTGCCCGCCTAACGCGAAGGGTGAATCATCCATTCACTCCTATTTACAGGCTC